ACGCACAACCAACAGGAACCAGCCAACAGTATCTGAGGTGTTCGCTAAAATTACCAAGTACAAGTGTGCAAGTGAAAGACGGAAGCAGTCTACTGACCCGATGACTGCCTGTACCCACTGTCTCAAGCGCACGACAATGTGTGTGCGTCTCTGTGTGTGCCTGCCTGTGTGTGTGTGTGTGGTCACGTGATGTGCGTTTTCAGCAGTAGTGAGGAAGGAGGGCTGCTCAGAAATGCTACACGCCAGTGTGGATGTGGATCGTTATCGTTATAAAATGTCATTTAAAAACTAAGACCTATTAATGTGAACAGGGCCTGAGTGTGTATTTTTCGCGAGTAGATTTGCAACGGGGACGGGGCGGAGGATCGTGATGCCGGTGTGTTGTCTATCGGCCCAACCCTAATACATAGCAGAGCTTGCAAACTGTGTTTTTTTTTTTTTTTTTCGACAACACGAATGTTGTCAACATAACTCACTGGAAATCCAAAACACTTTCACACCGGCAATTTCATTGAAAGAGGAGAGGATTTACGCTCTGTCGACGGCTCTCCTGCGTCTGCAGTTCAACAAGCATGTTTATTTCCGCTTGTCAAGCCAAGCTGACATGACATGAGGCCGTGGCAGCATCGACGATTCCATTTTTTTATTCGATAATCGAAATCGAGCATGAATTTTGATCGATTTCGATTTAAAACCGAAATCGTGACACCCTGACAGAATAGTCAATCATCTATCTTTATAGCCTAGCAGTTGTTTTTGTGCTGCATCTGTACAGATTTGTAATTCTATTTCTTAAATTAGTATTTTGAACACCATTTAGGATGCATAGTACGCAGATGGGGACTCAGCATCTGTTTTTCCAGTCCTCTGGTTACCACAGAAACAGCCATAAAGGAGATTGGTGTCGTACCAATGGACACTTTTCGCATTTTCAGTTCTCTCAGCATTGAAGTGGTTCAACAGAGTACAACACATCATTAGTCTACAATCCTATTAGCTGAAATGATAAGAGAGAAACTCCAGGATGGTGTTATTAAGGCTTTCAGAAAGAGGAAAACAATAGAAATAAGTGTCCCACACAATAGTGTGGGACTGATAATGGCAGCCAGAGGAGAGAATACTGTCAGACTTACTGTCCTGCACCCATAGATGCTGCTTTTGTTGCAGGATTATTCCATATATGCGTAAATACATATAAATGTGCATTCTTATTTAAGATGCTGGTGACCCCATATCCATTAAAAAATACTATTAATTTTTTTTCGAGTCAGTTATTCTGTTCGAAATAATAGAAATATGCTTCTGGAAATAAAATTAGAATTACAAATATGTACTTCCGCTGTGGAGACCAATGGGGCACTTTTCCCTTATGACATTTACACAGAACTGATATGATGTGTTTCAAGAGTTCACACTTCGATAATGCTTGACTATTTTATCAGGTTTGGCATGCTAATCCTGAGCTCGGGGCTAGGTGAGTCTGATGCTGTGTTCACACCAGACGCGAAACGAGCCGATAAATCGCGCTATTCGCGCGTAAAGCCACGTGAACATTTAAGTTTACTCGCTTCATTTGAGCATCAAACCCCGCTTCATTCGTGCATTAAACCCCGCTTCATTCGCACGTCAAATCCGCTTTAGATCAGACGCGGATTCGGATCACAGTGTTTATGTGTTTTATGAAGAACAGGTTAGGGTAATCAGGCCAGTTTTTGTATAACGATTGTTTGTTCTGTAGATCATCGAAAAAAAAAATTTGCCCAAAGGGGCTTATAATTTTGTCCCTAAAATGGTGCTTAAAAAATTAAAAACTGCTTTTATTCTATCCAAAATAAAACAATTAAGACTTTCTCCAGAAGAAAAAACATTATCAGACATACTGTTAACATTTCCTGAATCTGTTCAACAGCATTTATGAAATATTTAATAAAGAAAAAAAAAATTCATACCATTCGGTACGAGACTTTTAGTTCGGTACGCATTGCAAATGGAACGATTCAGACTAATATCTGAAATGATAAAAGAGAATAAGTACAAAAAAGCCTGCATTGCTTGCCCTGCCTTCAAGCTCTTATTGGCCCACTGCGCTACAACAGAACAGTTCTGATGACAGGTTGCTACAGCTGCAAAAATGTAAAAGTCTGGATCCAAGATAACACTGACAGATTTAGTTTTAGAAACCAGCTAGAGTTACAAATCATGGCACATCTGACCAGTGATCATGTGCTGGATGTCAATCCAGCATTTACACTTTTCCAAGAGTGGATAAAAGACTTACAGTGTTTAAAGTCCGCTATGAAAATGACTAAAGCATTCAAGGTAAAGCCGGTGGGACGGGGTTTTCAGGTAGGTTAACAGTGTTTGCCCCTGAATCTACACATTTTAAGCACGAGATGTTCTAACATTATTTAATCCTTCATTTAATCGTCACAATGCTGTCAATCGTGCTGCTATTAAGATAACGTATGCAAATAATAAGTTATAATATCATCTGGGCAATATCAGATATCAGACAGCACCTGTGAGAACAGCACAGTAATTATTGTTAATTCAGTTCATCTCAGTCACGTCAAGCAGTGTGTGCAGGGCCGGTGAGTGCATGCAGATTTGTTAATTGTGATTAGAGTGTTAATATTTAATAGAGTCTGTTCATAAAAAACTTGTAGTATCGTTGCTCAGCATTTTTGGTGGGTGCGACTAAATTTTGTCTGGTGCGCCTACATTTTTGAAGTTAGGAGCACCGGTGCTACCAAGAAAAAAGGTTAATTTCGAGCCCTGTTAGACCTGAATAATTCTGTTTTGTCGGAGTTTAAGAGAAGAAAATTGTTGGTCATCCAGTCTTTAATGTCTTTGTTACACTCTGTTAGTTTAGACAGTTCAGACGTCTCCTTAGGTTTAGTTGAAATATATAATTGAGTATCATCTGCATAGCAGTGAAAGCTGATAAAGTGGAAATGTCGGGTTTTAAGAAAATGTTAAATGTAATAGAGCCCCGTTACATTTTTCCTTCATAAGCCCATTTCAGTCAGATAATTCCTGCTTTCAGATCCACTGAAATGGCAGGTGACAGTCAAATCAAGCAGATCAAGTGCTGTCTGAAGAAAAGGTGGACACTCATCTTTCTGAAAATAAAATAATACTTAAAAATTGATTAAAACTGAGCTCCATATACAAACTCAGTTGTTCTTTTCTTTTTTTTAACTATCGCAATATTACATTTATTTTTTATTAGCAGCTTTTTGGATTTGAGTTTAAAGAAGGATTCGTTTTATTTGCTGCTAAGCAGAAACCCCAGAAGTATAGCTCTGTCACACTGTAAAGTAAAAGAAAAATAACAGATCATACTTTAATGATGTGAGTTTTAATACATAAAAAATTAAAATCAGAGAAATCCTCTGGCTTTTTTATTTAGTTATTTTGCTGCATCGAAAACATACCGATCCGTGACACCACTGTATCGTAACCAACCTAACTAGGATCTTTGTGAACCGTAACACCCCTAGTGTTTATGCAGGAATTTGTTTATTAATTTATTTGCAAATTTGTTTATTGTTACATATTGATTTATTATTTATTGAAGGTTTCATCCTCCATACTATGGGCCCTTTTCACATGACTTTTTCTTTATTAGGCTCAAATTGATTAACAACATATATATATATATATATATATATATATATATATGCATGTTAGAACATGAGAGTTCACACATCAGACACCTGCTGCACTTCTGTGAATGAGGAAAACTGAATAATGTGACAACTAAAACAACCCACACATAAGCTTTTATTGAAATAATTAACATATTGAACATATGACAGAAAGTATAACCTGACTGACAGGTATACGCTGAGTTTAGTTTCGTTTATAGAGCAGGGCATGCAGTGAGCCTTATCACATATTTCTGTAATTAGGGTTAGGTGGTATGACAAACACTTAATTTGATTTCATGGTTATGATTAAGGATGTGCATCTATCAATTAATTTTCAGTCAATTTAACCAGTACAATTTTTATTGTTACTTTGATATCATCTGTATATTATTTTGCTGCCAGTTAAAATGAGATAATGCCAAATATATGAGATTGTATTGTGATAGTTTATAGTTTACCTGGCCTAGTAATTATACTATTGTTTTAGTTTATTTGGGAAATGTTTTAATAGTGTCGAATATGGTGAGCAGTACAAAATGATCCGTATGTTAACTGTTAAACAACTAAATTAAGTTTAAAGGCTTTTAAATTGAAATGCTTTATAATCTGATATGGATTTTCAATCAGCTTGGCTCCATCATAGGTCCTACAGAAAAAAATATTTTTTTATTTTATAGTTTATTTTGTTGTTTTAATTCTAGTTTATTATCATTATCTTCATTCTCTACAGCGCCTCTGTTCGAAATGCATTACAGCAGGCTTTTACCACAGCTCATTTAAGATAAAAGACCAACATAAATATTTGTAGATCAGTTTTCACTGTTGTCTACATTGTTGACTATCTTTTTTAGCGCTTATTTGCTTTGATCTATTCATCAGGTGCTGTGTCAAAAGCCACTAGCACGCATTCAACTGCGGTTTGTCTGCCTTTATTGGTTTTTCAGCTTTATCATTTCCTGCTAGTCCTGATTGAAATGTTTCGAGCGTCTCGTAAATCTAAAGAATCAACAAGGAACTTAAGCAAGAATGGAGAGATGTGGGTGAGAAGAGCTGATGAATCACACCATAGATATGATAGATGAAATGTCAGATATCAAACCAAGAATGGAGAAAGACTCAGAACGAATGCATTTTATTCTGATCATTTGCATTGAGGCAATAAATAAATAAACAGATTTAATGAATTCTAATAATTTACCACACTGTGCAACTATATGTATATATTTATGTAATTTATACATTGCATTTACATATCTATATATGTTTTTATATTACATTTAAATACTTAAATACATTGGTAGAGCTTGAGGTTTTACTGAAATAAAATGAAAATCTCTCTTTTTTTTTAAACCACATCCAAGGAAAGTGCATATGAACAAACAATACATTGATAAATATAGAGAAAAAAAAGGCTCTTTGCAGATAACATCGATCGGAAACAAAACCCAAAGACTCTATAGTTCAGATTAATAAATTAGAGAAAGACTGTCAGGGTTTATCCAGAACTTGAGCTGAAAATGCATGTGCTGCTCCGTTGATTCAAGATCTAGTCTATAGTTTGTTTTGACTGTGAGAGTCCTTCACTTGAGTAGATGTGGAAAATACATTCGTTTGTGTCTCAATCGTTCATATTGATCATATGTGCAGTAGTTATGATCAAATAATCCGGGGTAGCAGAAGAGACGCTGCCATCAGGAGTAAAGCGGTCAACACACTGATCTTACTGCTGACTTCTCCTGATGAATACGCTGTTTACAGGAAAAGAGAACAAGACAGAGTTTATTAGTACATATCATTCAGCATGAGTGTGGAATATTAACTCAGGCACATCAATGTGGAGACAGTATGTTAATCTGCATTTATCACATGGCTCTCTGGAATACTTGATTCTGATTGGTCAATCATGAAATTCTGAGGTCTTTTCTAGATAACAATCAAAATGTGTTTTAAATATCCATTAAAACAAGGGTTTGACAGAAAGATAATGCATTCAATTTCAAACCAGTTATTGCCTTAAGTGAAGTTTATTTATAAAGTAACGTCGAGAAGATCAAGTGCTTATGATTGCTTGCGGCCGGTCCTGCATTATTCAATTTATGATTGACCAATCAGACGATTCCTAAGCCACTTTATATACCCTAAGTTCCAAATCACAGCCATCTTTATTTTGAAGAATCCCCCCTTCCACCCCAACTCCTCCTCCTTTCCTAGACGGGTGGCACTGTGGCCCAGTGGTTAACTCTGTTGCCTCACAGCAAGAACATCACTGGTTCTAGCCCATTTCTAGCACATTTCTGTGTGGAGTTTACACGTTCTCCCCGTGCTTATGTGGGTTTCCCCCTGGTTCCCCGGTTTCCTCCCACCGTCTAAAAACATGCAACTTAAGTTAACTGACCAAATCAGCACCATAGACATGCTCCTAGTCAGTATTCATCTCTTAAGAGCGATCACTATCTGTTCATTAGCTACTACAGCAGAGGAGTTCTCCAGATCTACCTGAGCCATGCAAACAGGAGGGAGCCCCGGGCTCGAGGATCTTATTAGCTCAGGGCTGTCTTCCAGGACAGCATGCCAAACACACTTTATAATCAATCATCAGCTAAGGGTGAACTCTTGAAAAATAATACAAAGTGTTATATATTGATTTTTAGGTTATCTTTTTCAATCAAAAGAAACATTATTTTGTAATTATGCTCTTAACTGTTTGGCGCCTAATGTTTGTGCTAATTATAAGTAGGTTAGGGTTAGGTTGTTCTACATTCAGTTTTTCTTTCTGCAAGCTTGCACATTTAATTAAAGAGCTAGTAGATTATTACAGCTCAGATCATGGTCTTGTGTCTAATGGTTTAGTTCTGTGTCCAGTAGCCATGTAATAATCAGGATAATGTACATCCAGCCGGTGGTAATTGTAAAATAAACCCTCCAGCCTTCACTACAGCTGCTGATAAATCTGGTGTACTTTATCCTACAACAACCACCAGCTGGATGTACATTATCCTTCACTTAATACAGTGTCAATGTAATTAATGTTTGGCTGTAGTACAAGATTATTTGACCCCACTTACCTGTGTTATTTACTATTATTGAATAAGTGTAGATCTCGAAGGGTAGCGTGTTGTTTCTGGCTGCTCGGACTATAGTGTTCACTATCTGGGTGTCATTGGGCAGAATTGTGCCGGCTGAGAATGCTAAATCCATGCTGTTCCTGATCGACGGCACAATCTTTGATTTCACACCGGCATCACTAGAGAGAGTGTGTTTAATCCAGATTTAGTCATAAAAACAGACTGTTAAATAGTCAAAGCTGGGTTTAACCCTCCTGTTGGATGTAAACACTACTGCAGTCAGAAACGAATGTTGTCCATTGATAAAACGCTAATAAGGGAAAACCTGGACATTCACAAGATTTATTAAAATAGATTTGAGGCTTGAAATTAAATTGGTTTAGTCAAGGAGGGCCATCTTGACCTACAGTCCGAATAGTGTTTATCGTTAGACAACAGGAGGGATTAGAACACACAAGCATACATATGCCTACCTGAAGTTTGTTAAAGATATGGTGCTGAATGACACTGGGTAGTCGTAGAAGAAAAAGGGCTCAAGCTGTAAAACAAGAGCAGTTAAGCAAAATTGGTTTTCTGTTTTGGAAGATGATACACCAAATTCCTTAATGAATTCTTCACACATACCCCAGTTTTTATCATCATTGCCCTGGTCTGAAAATCGGTCTTAGTCTTATTTGAAAGTGCAGCCGTAAAGGTTCCATTGGTCAGGATTATCACTGGAATGATCTGCAGCGATTCTGTACAGATAAAACAGTTCATCGGTTGCAGTCTTCAATAGATGTGGACATTGAATATATCAGAAGACCGATTCCTGCAAACTTACTGATAACCATAATAGTGCCGACATCCACGCTGAGGTTGAACCCTGAGGTCGGATTTACCGCTGCATCTTTTAGAGTCTGCACAATGTCATTGTTGTCGGGAATCTGTTCAGTGGAGTTCTGGTTAAACACTATTTCTAGGTCCACCAGTACATTTTGTTCTACTGCCCTTATTTTGTTCACAGCTCTGAAAGAAAACACAAAGTTTGTGTTAAAGTCTGCGCATGTGGAAGTGGTGAAGATTTTGTCTTTTTTTAAGGTGCTATATGTAAGTTTGTGACTGTCCTGAATCATAAAAATACCATGATATGTTTGCAAAAATTTAAGAAACATGTTGAGTGAACATTCTTGTTTATCTGTGAAACAATGCTAAAGTCAGATATTCTGCTTTAAAAATGTGCGTTTCGACATGTCTGTTTTGTTTTGGTCTCTGTAACTCCGCCCACTGCCAATTTAACCAATTATATTTAAGCACTTTGGGTTGCGTTGGTGAAAAACAGTGTATTTTATTGTAACCATGTAAATGTGACCTCTGGAGGGCTGTAGCAGTCTCGAATTGAGACGCAGATTTAGAGAATTCTTTTTGAGATTTTAGAGATTTTCTTTTTGGCTCAGTCCCTTTATTAATCAGGATACACCATAGCAGAATCAACTGCCAACTTATATACAGATGGTTTACACAGCGGATGCCCTTTTAGCCGCAACCCAACACTGGGAAACACCCCTACACTCCTGCATTCACACAAGGCCAATTTAGTTCATCAATTTCCCTATAGCGCAGGGCTGGCCAGCCCTGTTTCTGGAGAGCCACCCTCCTGCAGATTTCAGTTGCAACCCATATCAAACACACCTGCCTGTAATTATCAGTGGTGTTCAGGTCCTAATTAATTGATTCAGGTGTGTTTGATATGGGTCGCAACTGAAATCTGCAGGAAGATGGCTCTCCAGGAACAGGGCTGGCCACCCCTGCTATAGCACATATCTTTGGAATAGGGCTGCACGATAACAGAAAAAATAATAATCACTATTATTTTGCTCAAAATGTTAATCACAATTAATTATGACGATTAATTCTTTGGTTAGCTTTATTATATATGTATGTAATATAAAAGGGCAGCACAGTGGTGCAGTGGGTAGCATGTTCGCCTCACAGCAAGAAGGTCACTGGTTCGAGCCTCGGCTGGGTCAGTTGGTGTTTCTGTGTGGAGTTGCATGTTCTGTCCGTGTTGGCTATCGGGCTACCCACTGCGCCACCGTGACACCCAAAAATACAAATATTACAAGCGCAAACATTAGCTGAGCATTTTTTTTTAATATAAGGCTCGATCTTTAGGAATGCTTGCTCCTCTTAGCATCATCAGTCTGGCAACCTTTGCGTGCGTGGGGTCATCATAGGAGGGGCTGAGTGAAAAACCCCTCTCCAGTATTTTGGATTTTAGCTGCAGTACAAAGTTCAATCCTACATACTGCACCTTTAATATTCAATAAAATGCGTCTGTACACATCCATTCATCAACTGAGTGAGAGTGCTGATTCAGTAGCTACTCCACAGCTCTCCAAATGTTTGTAGGAATGATTGAAATCATGAAAGTTACATGAATGATGCTCCAGGAAAAACATCGAATCCAGTATTGCATCTTACTTGGCAAAATCACACCCACCAAATTACACATCACAAATTAAACTCATACTTTTTATGTGAGGGCAAAAACCGTCATCTATCTGGGAGTGCTGAAGCATGTGATTAATCTTTTTAAGTAATAATGCAAACTGGAAACTCACCTGAAAGCAAGCACGATAACCCTGAGGAAAAGAGCTCCATACTTCATTCTATATACTTTGTCACACTGTGGAAGAAATTTGGCAGTGTTATTAAATATTAAACGCATACATGAATCATGCTACTGTGAAAAAGGAGGTTCAGAATGGCCAAGAGATCAAATTCAATGAAACATTAATTTATTTTACAAGCTAATATCACACCTCCTTGCTGCTCATATTGCATCTTAAAGAACTCACCTCTTGCTCAACTAGTTTTGCCAAGATTTGAAATGCTGGAGTTGTTGCGTCTTCCAGATCTGAAGTGAATACTATTAAAATGACCATCTCTATGGCTACAATTGGTGGAGGACGTGTTGGTAATGCTGTTGTAGTTGTAACCACAGAAGTTGCTTTTGTTGTGGTGGTGGTTGTCGGTGTTGTTGTCGGTGTTGTTTTGGTTGTTGTAGTTGTTGTCGTAGTTGTTGTTGTAGTTGTTGTGGTGGTTGTAGAGGTTGTTGTTGGTGGTGGTGTTGTAGTTGTAGCTATTGTAGCGGTGGTGGTCGTTTCACTGCTTGTGACTGTAGGTGCTATCGGTGGTGTTGCTTTAAGTAAAGGGGTGGTTTGAATTGTAGTAGTTGCAGGTAGACTTTGGCTTGTAGATACACTGGCAGATACAGTTGTAGTTTGAATAGTACTGATAGGTTGGGATGTTGTCGTCAACTGAGTTGTTATTGTCGACTGTGGTTGTAAAGGGGTTGACGCTGTCTGTTGGGTGGTAATTACTGTTGCAGTGTTTGATGTTGGCTGGATAGTAGTTGATGCAGGTCGCAGTGTTGTTGTGGTTGGGATTGCAGTTGTAGATATAGCTGTAGCTAGAGTTGGTATCATTTGCGAAATTGTTGAGAACGTAGATGCTGTTGTAATTATTGTTGACTGTGCATCTGTTGTAGTTTGGATTAGCGTTTGTTGTGAAGAGGTAACAGCTTGCAATAGAGTTGTTGAGAGTGTTGTAGCCTGGGGGCTGTTCGTAACCTGGGAGTTTTCTGTAACTGTTTGCTGGCTTGTTGTAGTGGATGCAGTGGTTGTAGCATTTTCCTCTGGTCTGACTGTTGTTGTTTAACATAGTTTCAATGATTGATTGCATTGTAGATTTGAGAATTATAATTGGAAAAAAAGTGAAGTCAATCATTCAAATGTATCAGTCTTTGTAAAAATAATATACAGTGATGATACAAACATTTTTGTCAACAGAATGAATTACTTACCAGTTAAATTAGTAATATTAAAGGTTGTGCTTGCATTGAAGATAGCAATTCTGATTTGCACATCAGTGGGCAGATTGTCCACTGTGAATTCCAAATCCATAAATGTGAGAACTGAACCAGGACTACATAAAGAAAGAAGAATGTTAAGTTTACACTTGTTATGTGTTTTTAAGGCAGTATGAGAGTGTAATGGGTACAGTGATCAAAAATAACTTTTACTGCACTGTGTACATACAGCATAGATACTTGCATGGATATAGCAATGGATGGATAATGATATTTAAAAATTAACAAGAAATACCCACCGGAACCAACGAACACTCAATCCAAGGAAGGAGATAAAAACTTTTCTTAAGGGCGGTTCAAACTGTGGAAAAGATGGAAAGCCATTTTCAGTGTGAAGTTTTGAATTCTGTACTGAGTCTTTTGTACAAACAATAGTAAATTACAAAAGTATTTAAATGTCTTTTATAAAACTTACTTCATTTTTTACTTTTTGTTCTCGATTTTTGTACTTAGTTGAAAATGAATTCAGCAGTTCAGGATCAAATATTTCATCACAGGTAAACATGACAGGTACTGTAGTTGTAAGCAGTGTAGTAGGACTTGCTGTACTTGTAGTGAGTTTCACTACAGTTGTGAGTGGCTCTGTTGTAGACTGTAGTGCTGTTTTAAAAGAATGAATAAAATAATAAATCTCAGTTTAAGCGAAGACATAACCTCTCATTTAATACCTATCAGACTGCAGATGCAGCTGATAGTATTTAAACAATGACAAATCAAAGTAGAACTTTCATGACCTTACTAACATCCATCCGTTGTAGAAAAGTTACCACCAATCACAAATAAGTAGGATAGAAAATAAATTAGTAGTTTTCAGCATCTTTAACTGCAGAAAATCCATTAACCATAACAAACATTTTGAATTGTCATTTATTGCACAAAATATATAAATAAATTTGTGTAACTTACAAAAAATAGGACTTTCACTTGAGGCAGTAGTTGTGCTGATAGTAGAACCTTGGTCATTTGTTGAGAACATAGACTGTGCTGTAACTGATGGAAGTTGTGATGTGGTTATTGTTGACTGGGTTGTTTCTGTTGGAAGTTGTGATGTGGTCATCGTTGACTGGGTTGTTTCTGTTGGAAGTTGTGATGTGGTCATTGTTGACTGGGTTGTTTCTGTTGGAAGTTGTGATGTGGTCATCGTTGACTGGGTTGTTTCTGTTGGAAGTTGTGATGTGGTCATTGTTGACTGGGTTGTTTCTGTTGGAAGTTGTGATGTGGTCATTGTTGACTGGGTTGTTTCTGTTGGAAGTTGTGATGTGGTCATCGTTGACTGGGTTGTTTCTGTTGGAAGTTGTGATGTGGTCATTGTTGACTGGGTTGTTTCTGTTGGAAGTTGTGATGTGGTTATTGTTGACTGGGTTGTTTCTGTTGGAAGTTGTGATGTGGTTATTGTTGACTGGGTTGTTTCTGTTGGAAGTTGTGATGTGGTCATTGTTGAATGGGTTGTTTCTGTTGGAAGTTGTGATGTGGTCATTGTTGACTGGGTTGTTTCTGTTGGAAGTTGTGATGTGGTCATTGTTGACTGGGTTGTTTCTGTTGGAAGTTGTGATGTGGTTATTGTTGACTGGGTTGTTTCTGTTGGAAGTTGTGATGTGGTCATTGTAGACTGGGTTGTTTCTGTTGGAAGTTGTGATGTGGTTATTGTTGACTGGGTTGTTTCTGTTGGAAGTTGTGATGTGGTCATTGTTGACTGGGTTGTTTCTGTTGGAAGTTGTGATGTGGTCATCGTTGACTGGGTTGTTTCTGTTGGAAGGTGTGATGTGGTCATTGTTGACTGGGTTGTTTCTGTTGGAAGTTGTGATGTGGTCATTGTTGACTGGGTTGTTTCTGTTGGAAGTTGTGATGTGGTCATTGTAGACTGGGTTGTTTCTGTTGGAATTTGTGATGTGGTTATTGTTGACTGGGTTGTTTCTGTTGGAAGTTGTGATGTGGTCATTGTTGACTGGGTTGTTTCTGTTGGAAGTTGTGCTGTGGTCGATGTTGACTGACCTTCCGTTGTAGTTTGGGTTTCAGTTTGTATTGGTTGTGAAGTAGTTACAGACTGAGGTGTATTTGTAGACTGAGCACTTGTTGAGATTGTTGACTGGGTTGTTTCTGTTGAAAGTTGTGATGTGGTCATTGTTGACTGGGTTGTATCTGTTGGAAGTTGTGATGTGGTCGATGTTGACTGACCTTCCGTTGTAGTTTGGGTTTCAGTTTGTATGGGTTGTGAAGTAGTTACAGACTGGGGTGTAGTTGTTGGCTGGGCACTTGTTGAGAATGTGGACTGGGTTGTATCTGTTGGAAGTTGTGATGTGGTCATTGTTGACTGGGTTTCACTTGTACTTTGGATTTCAGTTTGTATGGGTTGTGAAGTAGTTACAGACTGGGGTGTATTTGTAGGCTGGGCACTTGTTGAGATTGCTGACTGGGTTGTTTCTGTTGGAATTTGTGATGTGGTCATTGTTGACTGGGTTGTATCTGTTGGAAGTTGTGATGTGGTCATTGTTGACTGGCCTTCCGTTGTAGTTTGGATTTCAGTTTGTATGGTTGGTGAAGTAGTTAATGACTGGGGTGTATTTGTAGGCTGGGCACTTGTTGAGAAGGTTGACTGGGTTGCTTCTGTTGGAAGTTGTGATGTGGTTGATGTTGACTGACCTTCCGTTGTAGTTTGGGTTTCAGTTTGTGTGGTTGGTGAAGTAGTTACAGACTGGGGTGTATTTGTAGGCTGGGCACTTGTTGAGATTGTTGACTGGGTTGTTTCTGTTGGAAGTTGTGATGTGGTCATTGTTGACTGGGTTTCACTTGTACTTTGGATTTCAGTTTGTATGGGTTGTAAAGTAGTTGATGACTGGGGTGTATTTGTAGACTGAGCACTTGATGAGAAGGTTGACTGGGTTGTACCTGTTGGAAGTTGTGATGTGGTCGATGTTGACTGGCCTTCCGTTGTAGTTTGGGTTTCACTTGTACTTTGGGTTTCGGTTTGTATTGGTTGTGAAGTAGTTACAGACTGAGGTGTATTTGTAGACTGAGCACTTGTTGAGAATGTTGACTGTGTTGTATCTGTTGGAAGTTGTGATGTGGTCATCGTTGACTGGGTTTCACTTGTAGTAGCATTTTCATCTGGCCTGACTGTTGTTTTTTATCATAGATTGAATGGTTGGGTGTTTTGTAGATTTTTGAATTATTGTTGATAAAAAAAAAATAGATGTTAATTTAGTCTAAATCATTTAAATAGAAAGTTTCTTTAATTTTTTCACTGTTTCATCTGATTTACTTACCTTGTACACTGGTGATATTAAATGAGGTGTTTGCATTGATGAAAACAGCTCTGATCTCATCGTCAGTGGGCAAATTGTTCACAGTGAATTCTAAATTCACAAATGTGACGACTGAACCAGAACTACATAAAGAGACATAAGTGTTAAAGTTTAGATAAGTACATTTTATAACTCGTAAAGATAGTATAAACATATTGCAGAGGTAAAATCAACAAAGAAATACTCACAGGAACCGAAGAACTTTCAGCCAGCGGAAGGCAATAAATTTTTTTGTTAGGATCGGCTCAAACTGTGGAAGAGTTGCAAATGAAGTCACAGTCTTTAAAATACAGAAATAAGTTCTTTTCTGTGTACTCTATAGTAAATATCTTGAAATACAAAATAATTTTAAAGTTTTTTTACACAACCTACTTCATGCATGACTTTTTGTTCTCGATTTGTATACTGAGGTGAAGAAGCATTCAGCAGTGCAGGATCAAATGTCTCATCACAGGTAAACATGACGGGTACTATAGTTGTAAGCAGTGTTGTTGAGGGATTTATACTGGATAAATCAGTTTTAAATGTTGTAGTTGACTGATCTGTAACTCCTGTTGTTGTCAATTCAGATTCATCCCATAAATCAGTTATATATTGTGTAGGCATTTCAGTAACAGTGGTAGGTACTTTTGATGTAAATGCTGTTGTCAATTCTAGTTCCTCAGAAGTTGATGATTTTCCACTGAATTCTGTGGTTGATTGCTCAGTCGTTCCAATAGTTGTCATTTCTGTTTCCTCTGTTGAATCTGCCGTAAATGAGGTTGGTGTTGTAAAACTGTTTGATACCTCTGATGTAAATACTGTTGTCAGTTTGAGTGCCTGGGGAGAAGTTGATTGTCCATTAACCTCTGTAGTTGATTGATCTGTTACTACTCCAGTAGGCATTTCAGTTTCCTCTGTTAAGTCTGTTATAAATGGAGTTGATATTTCTGTAACACCGGTTGATCCTTGTGATGTAAATGCTGTTGTCAAGTTTAGTTCCTTAGGAGTAGTTGACTGTCTGGTGACCTCTGTAGTCAGTTGATCAGTGACACCTTCAGTTGGAATTTCTGTTTCTTCTGATAAATCTGTTGTAAATGGAGTTGGTATTTCCGTAACAGTGGTAGATATTTCTGATGTAAATGCTGTTGTCAAGTCTAGTTCCTCAGAAGTAGTTAATTCTCTAGTCGTCAGTTGATTGGTCACTCTAACTGTTGACATTTCAGTTTCCTCTGTCAAATCTGTTGTAGATGGTGTTGGTGTTTCTGTGAAACTGGTAGATACCCCTGATGTAAATGCTGTTGTCAATTCTAGTTCTTCTGGAGTGGTTGATTCTCCTGTTACCTCTGTAGTCAGTTGATCGGTTACACCAATGGTAGTCATTTCAGTTTCCTCTGTTGACTCTTTAGATGAATCAGTTGTAGATGGTGTTTGTAATTCTGTGAAACTGGTAGAAATTTCTGATGTAAATGCTGTTGTCAATTCTTCTTCAGGTGTAGTTAATTCTCCTGTTACATCTGTAGTCAGTTGATCAGTTACACCAATGGTTGTCATTTCAGTTTCCTCTGTTGACTTTTCAGATAAATCAGTTGTAGATGGTGTTGGTAATTCGGTGAAACTGGTAGAAACTTCTGATGTAAATTCTGTTGTCAATTCTTCTTCAGGAGTGGTTGATTCTCCTGTTACCTCTGTAGTCAGTTGATCAGTTACACCAATGGTAGTCATTTCAGTTTCCTCTGACTCTTCAGATGATACAGTTGTAGATGGTGTTGGTAATTCGGTGAAACTGGTAGAAACTTCTGATGTAAATTCTGTTGTCAATTCTTCTTCAGGAGTGGTTGATTCTCCTGTTACCTCTGTAGTCAGTTGATCAGTTACACCAATGGTTGTCATTTCAGTTTCCTCTGTTGACTTTTCAGATAAATCAGTTGTAGATGGTGTTGGTAATTCGGTGAAACTGGTAGAAACTTCTGATGTAAATTCTGTTGTCATTTCTTCTTCAGGAGTGGTTGATTCTCCTGTTACCTCTGTAGTCAGTTGATCAGTTACACCAATGGTAGTCATTTCAGTTTCCTCTGTTGACTCTTCAGATGAATCAGTTGTAGATGGTGTTGGTAATTCGGTGAAACTGGTAGAAACTTCTGATGTAAATTTTGTTGTCAATTCTTCTTCAGGAGTGGTTGATTCTCCTGTTACCTCTGTAGTCAGTTGATCAGTTACACCAATGGTTGTCATTTCAGTTTCCTCTGTTGACTCTTCAGATGAATCAGTTGTAGATGGTGTTGGTAATTCTGTGAAACTGGTAGAAACTTCTGTTGTAAATGCTGTTGTCAATTCTTCTTCAGGTGTAGTTAATTCTCCTGTTACATCTGTAGTCAGTTGATCAGTTACACCAATGGTTGTCATTTCAGTTTCCTCTGTTGACTCTTCAGATGAATCAGTTGTAGATGGTGTTGGTAATTCGGTGAAACTGGTAGAAACTTCTGATGTAAATGCTGTTGTCAATTCTTTTTCAGGAGTGGTTAATTCTCCTGTTACCTCTGTAGTCAGTTGATCAGTTACACCAATGGTAGTCATTTCAGTTTCCTCTGTTGACTCTTCAGATGAATCAGTTGTAGATGGTGTTGGTAATTCGGTGAAACTGGTAGAAACTTCTGATGTAAATTCTGTTGTCAATTCTTCTTCAGGAGTGGTTGATTCTCCTGTTACCTCTGTAGTCAGTTGATCAGTTACACCCATGGTTGTCATTTCAGTTTCCTCTGTTGACTCTTCAGATGAATCAGTTGTAGATGGTGTTGGTAATTCTGTGAAACTGGTAGAAACTTCTGATGTAAATGCTGTTGTCAATTCTTCTTCAGGTGTAGTTAATTCTCCTGTTACATCTGTAGTCAGTTGATCAGTTACACCAATGGTTGTCATTTCAGTTTCCTCTGTTGACTCTTCAGATGAATCAGTTGTAGATGGTGTTGGTAATTCGGTGAAACTGGTAGAAACCTCTGATGTAAATGCTGTTGTCAATTCTTTTTCAGGAGTGGTTAATTCTCCTGTTACCTCTGTAGTCAGTTGATCAGTTACACCAATGGTAGTCATTTCAGTTTCCTCTGTTGACTCTTCAGATGAATCAGTTGTAGATGGTGTTGGTAATTCGGTGAAACTGGTAGAAACTTCTGATGTAAATTCTGTTGTCAATTCTTCTTCAGGAGTGGTTGATTCTCCTGTTACCTCTGTAGTCAGTTGATCAGTTACACCAATGGTTGTCATTTCAGTTTCCTCTGTTGACTCTTCAGATGAATCAGTTGTAGATGGTGTTGGTAATTCGGTGAAACTGGTAGAAACTTCTGATGTAAATTCTGTTGTCAATTCTTCTTCAGGAGTGGTTGATTCTCCTGTTACCTCTGTAGTCAGTTGATCAGTTACACCCATGGTTGTCATTTCAGTTTCCTCTGTTGACTCTTCAGATGAATCAGTTGTAGATGGTGTTGGTAATTCTGTGAAACTGGTAGAAACTTCTGTTGTAAATGCTGTTGTCAATTCTTCTTCAGGTGTAGTTAATTCTCCTGTTACATCTGTAGTCAGTTGATCAGTTACACCAATGGTTGTCATTTCAGTTTCCTCTGTTGACTCTTCAGATGAATCAGTTGTAGATGGTGTTGGTAATTCGGTGAAACTGGTAGAAACTTCTGATGTAAATGCTGTTGTCAATTCTTCTTCAGGAGTGGTTAATTCTCCTGTTACCTCTGTAGTCAGTTGATCAGTTACACCAATGGTAGTCATTTCAGTTTCCTCTGTTGACTCTTCAGATGAATCAGTTGTAGCTGGTGTTGGTAATTCGGTGAAACTGGTAGAAACTTCTGATGTAAATTCTGTTGTCATTTCTTCTTCAGGAGTGGTTGATTCTCCTGTTACCTCTGTAGTCAGTTGATCAGTTACACCAATGGTAGTCATTTCAGTTTCCTCTGTTGACTCTTCAGATGAATCAGTTGTAGATGGTGTTGGTAATTCGGTGAAACTGGTAGAAACTTCTGATGTAAATTTTGTTGTCAATTCTTCTTCAGGAGTGGTTGATTCTCCTGTTACCTCTGTAGTCAGTTGATCAGTTACACCCATGGTTGTCATTTCAGTTTCCTCTGTTGACTCTTCAGATGAATCAGTTGTAGATGGTGTTGGTATATCTGTATAACTGGTCGATACTTCTGACGTAAATGCTGTTGTGAATTCTATTTCGTGGGTAGTTACTTCTCCAGTGACCTCTGTTGTCATTTCAGTTTCCTCTGTCAAATCTGTTGTAAGTTGTGTTGGTATATCTGTGAAACTGGTAGATACTTCTGATGTAAATGCTGTTGTTAGATCTTCTTCAGGAGTAGAAGATACTTCAGTGACCTCTGTCGTCAGTTGATCGGTCACTCCAGCAGTTGACATTTCAGTTTCCTCTGTCAAATCTGTTGTCAGTTGATCAGTCACTCCAGCAGTTGACATTTCAGTTTCCTCTGTCAAATCTGTTGTAAGTTGTTTTGGTATTTCTGTGAAACTGCTTGATACTTCTGATGTAAATGCTGTTGTTAGATATTCTTCAGGAGTAGAAGATACTTCAGTGACCTCTGTCGTCAGTTGATCGGTCACTCCAGCTGTTGAAATTTCAGTTTCCTCTGTCAAATCTGTTGTAAGTTGTGTTGGTATTTCTGTGAAACTGTTAGATACTTCTGATGTAAATGCTGTTGTTAGATCTTCTTCAGGAGTAGAAGATACTTCAGTGACCTCTGTCGTCAGTTGATCGGTCACTCCAGCAGTTGACATTTCAGTTTCCTCTGTCAAATCTGTTGTAAGTTGTGTTGGTAAATCTGTGAAACTGCTAGATACTTCTGATGTAAATGCTGTTGTCAATTCCATTTCTTGAGGAATAGTTGATTCTCCATTGAACTCTGTAGTCAATTGATCAGTTACTCCAACAGTTGGCAAATCGGTTTCCTCTGTTAAATCTGTCGTAAAATCTGTTAGTGTATCTGCAATGCTGATAGTAAATTCTGATGTAAACGCTGTTGACATTTCTAGTTCCTCAGGTGTAGGTGTTTCTCCAGTGACTTCTGTTGTCAATTGATCAACCAGTCCTCCAGTTGGCATTTCTGTTTTTTCTGTCAAATCAGTTGTTAGTTCTGTTGTTAATTTTAGTTCCTCATCAGTAGTCTGTTGATCAGTTGTTTCTTCTGCTGTAATTGCAGTATCTGGTTTTCCTGTTATACTTGACATAAAAGACCCCTCTAGTGTTGACAGTTCAGAGTCGTCTAAGGAAGATGTGGAGAATTCTTGCTTCTCTGAAATGCCATCATTGGTCGATTCATCTGTAAACAATGTACATTTATACTCAGTAAATTCTTTTCATGGCATTTGAAGCAATTGTGCAAGATAATGAAGTGATCTCACCTGCTAAACTGGTTATAGATTCAGCAGTGCTTCTTGTAATTGATTCCTTAGATATTTCTGATGAAAATCCATCAGTTGTGTTTGTTGCAGAATCATTTGTGAAACTGATGTAAGATTCTGGTGTGATGCCCTCAGTTACGTCTGTGGGGCTTGAAGCATCAGCTGTCGTTATTAACTGAGCTGTAATTAGAGTGCATAATATACTGTCAGATCATGTAAAAACTGAGGGATAACATTAATCATTTTCAAATAAATATGAAAAGACAAAACCTGACCTATTAATATAAAAGTTGTGGTCATCAGTGTTGTTCTCCACATCTTGGTATCTGTGAAAATTGATCACATTTAATTCAAACTCAAAGTACAGTATAAACCTTCTGTTCTGCATTTCTCAGTTCTTTTCTGCCCCCTGACAAGTCTGACACACCCGGTTCTGGTCATTGAGCGAGTGAATAATGAGCAGATGAATGGAACAAGGCGTGTTAGATATTTTTAACTTCAAAAAAGTGCAGTGGGAGAGCGTTTGACAGTCATTGTCTGCCAGCTTTACCGTACTGCGGGTTCGAGGAAACACTTGAGGAAGCAAAGCCAGTGAATAATTCAAGAATTTCTCGGAGACTAGTTACTCAAGATTCTTTTTCTTTTGTAGGTTCAAAATGGGTCATGGGTGACTTGATGAAAATGACAATGTATTTATAAAAAGTTTAGTGCTCAATTATTTGCACTTAAAAGTGGCCCGTTTATCTATGAGCTGTAACATGTCTTGAATGTTCCAAATGCTTTTGTTCTAGTATGAAACATTTCAATGCTTTTGTGTCTGTAATCTGTAGATATATAAATTTAAATGTTCTCAAGATTATTTTATTTTCCAATTCACCTGCTACAAGGACAAATTATTAGCCCTCTTATGAATTTAATTATTTTTTAAATATTTCCCAACTTCTGTTTAACAGAGAAAAAAAAAATATTTCAGCCAAACTACAAGTCATAAGACTTTCTCCAATAGAAAAATAAAATAGAAATATTGTTCGTTGTTTGAATATGTATTTTCAATTTGGCTCATCTTTATTCCTCTATGTAGATTGTGTCAAAGCAGCTTAACATAGAAGTTCTAGTAAATTGAAATTGAAACAGTGTAAATGTAGAGATATATATGATTAAAAACTAGTTGTTTATTATAAGCATTCTTAAAAACTGTAAACAGTGTCCCTACATCAACTCAATTATTCTTGTTTTACTTTGACCAAAAGTATTTCCAAACTAAAAAACTTAAGTAAATATCAAGTGTTTTCATTTTAACTCACTGACACCACAGTCAAAGTTGATAATAAGTGTAACTTCATAAAATATTCAATTCATAATTTTCTGATCACTGAAAGCTTAGCTCTAATATTTCACCTCTGTTTTCACTGGTTTCTGAATGGTTGCACAAATACATTGGTTAAAATACAATGTTCTTTTTCTAGTCCGTGATGTTTTGGATTTTTAATACTGTTAATATAAATAATTTTATTGTAGCCTGATTGTCTTGTTGGGCTTTTTATCTAGCTCTGGGTTATTATTTCTCTTCAGTGCTCATTCAGAGTGCTGTTGAGGTGGCAGCTGTTTATTACACAGCAATGTTTGGTATTTATCTGTTAAGTGCAATGTGATGAAATATTTATTCAATGCTTTTGGTAGTTATCGCAATATCATTAAACTAAACCGTGGGGTTTTCTTTCCCTCCCTACTCATATTCCCATAAACAATTATTTCAGTGAAAAGAAATAAAAGATTGTTTACGCAACTTGCTTAATCGACATCCAGGGACATTTTGAGACAACAAAATCCAGTGGCCATATTTGCATAATAAATTTAAAAAAATGAAAATGAATTGAAGAATTTTGTTGTTGTTATATTAACACTACACTGTAGTTACTTGTATTAAAATGTGATTAAAATGTAATATTTTAATTCAAATAGTTATATAATTTTATTTTTTATTACAATTATTTTTCGGGGTTTTCACCTTTATTTTTGATAGGACAGTAGAGAGAATTGACAGGAAAGCATGGGGAGCAAAGAGAGGGGAAGGATAGGACCGCGAGGCGGAATCGAACCCGGGTTGCCGGGATTACCGTAGTGCATGTGTCGACACACTAACCACTAAACCACTGGCGCCGACAGTTATATATTTTTAAGTCAGAATTTTTACTCTTAACATCTTGATCCTTCAGAAATCATTCTAATATGCTGTTTGATTATCAATAGATAATTATTATTGTTGTTGTTGCTGTTGTTATTAAAATAATCATTATTAGTAGTAGTTGTAGTCATAGTATCATCATTTATCTCAGCTTTCTTTGATGAATCGAAAGTTCAGACATTATACATTTATTTTATCATCAATTTTGATCAATGTAAAGCATCCTTGCTAAATAATTTCTGTCTTTTCTTTTAAAATAAATAAAGAAATGCAATGCCTCTGACTCCATGAATGGTAAAGTGTGTGATGAAACATTAACTTTTTATTTCAGATAAATGTGGATCTTTCTAGTCATCAAACCTGCCGAAAACTGACTTCACTATTAATATTGATAATGACGATGATAATAATAAAATATATTCTTGACCAGCAAATCATCATATTAGAATGCTTTCTGAAGGATCATGCGAGCGGTCTAATAGTGCCATTTTAAATGTTAAATATATTTGTATAAATGACAATTATTGAGTACTTTGGGGTACATGTGTGATCGTAAAGTTCAGAATACGGCTAACAAGATTTTATTTGCATATAAGCTATCACTTCCACTCATTGACATTTTAGTGTCTGTCTTCTATATATTGGGGGAAATAATCAATCCTTACTTCTTGTTTAACAAAATCTTTTTATGTTGAAAAAGTGACTTTTATTGACATTTTTAATGGTTTGAGATGATATACTGTCTCAAAATTATGGTAGAAAAAACGGGTAATAAACTGGAAGTTTTTTAAAAATTAATTTATGGATCCTTAAATATTGTTTATTTATTATGCAATATGTTATTTCAAATTACCAAACAATGTTACAATAAAAGTCACTTAATTGTTCAATAGAGTTCAATTTTATACATCAGAAGTCGACAGAGCAAGATCAACATCCCATAATCCAATTCATAAGCATAAATATAGGGACAATTTCATAATCATTAATATAATATTAATCATTATTAGAATTTTGAAGTCGAGTTTTGGCACTTTTTAAATATTATTTATATATTTAAAATGCTATTTAAATATTTTTTATTATAAGCAAAAACATTATAATCCTAAATATATACATTTTAAATAGTATTGATATTATATTTAATAAATCTTCCCTTTAAAAAATGTATATTTTAATGCAATTTGAATATAATATATAATGTAGTATATAGTATAATATAGTATAGTATAACGTAGTACAGTGGTTCTCAAACTGTGGTACGTGTACCACTAGTGGTCTGCAGGCATCCTTCTAGTGGTACGCGGACAAATGAAATATGCCATGTACATGCTACACACATTTCAAAATTTATCAAAAATGATGTATATAATATGCCATATATGACATATAGCCTATATTTCTGAGGTAGTCTGCCACGTTTTTTAACTGTGCAGAGTTTTAGCTGCTTAACTGGGCCAACTGCGCTACTGTATTTCAATACTGCTCATTTTGGTGGTACTTGAAGAGACTATTTTTTTCTGAGGTGGTACTTGATGATAAAAGGTTGAGAACCACTGGCGTAATAGATTATATAATATAAAAATGTAATTATAATTATAATAATTATTTTTAAATAAAATTTTGGCTCTTTAAAAAAATGCCATTTAAATTTTCTTAATAATAAACAGAAAACGTCACAATCGTTAATATAACATTCAATTCAATTCAATTCAGCTTTATTTGTATAGCGCTTTTACAATGTAGATTGTGTCAAAGCAGCTTCACATAAATGGTCATAGTAACTGGAACAGTGTGAACATAGAAATAAAAATGACAGTTTACAATTTTTTAAAACAAAATTCTGCTTGTTAAATTAAAAAAATAAAACAAATATGCAATTAGATTTTTTATGTTTTGTCAAATATTCTTTAGTGATAGACATAAACATGAAAATGAGTAAAGAAATAAAGAAATTAAAAACATGTACAACTAGCAATTTAAGAAGAAAACAGTAAATCAGACTCACCCATTACCCTTGACGGCTTCAGGTATGGATGGTGGAGTTGAATGTCCTGTACTGCTAATACACCAGCTGTGTTGTAAATCCCATGGCTAAAGCATGTGTTGTAGTCATGCACTACTGAAATTCAAGGTTTTATCACCTCTGTTTCTGGTCATGTGCTGAGTCAATTTCGTAAGTGCGGAAATTGTATTCAAAAAGGAAGAAAATCTCTTATTGACGCATTGATGTAATTGTTAAACAGCATTCCTGATCTGGAGTTCTGCCATTCATTCTCAGGCTTTTAGCAGATGCTGTGTTTACTTCAACTCCAGGTTAAAGCCAAAGAAATGCATGTGTCACTGCTGCTGTCATGCTGAGGATTAATCAGATGCAGAGACATTATTCTTTAATGCAAACCAACTATGGCCATGTGCGAAAGAGAAAATCTTGCTCCCTTATGCTTTTAAGTTGAATCAAATTAACTTTTCTAGTCATCACAACTTACATCAATCAAAATGACTAAACATATTACGTTAAACTTTGTGTAACTTACTCAAAAAATGTAGCTAAAACACGATTTACATATTTTAAAAAAGTCTAAATTAATATAAAGATATTTTGTCCTGATTTTTTTTACTGCTTACTTTTGTTTTAGATTTAAAGCACTTTTAAATGTCCACTCTTAATTAATGATTAGCACTTTTAGATTGTAGTTAAGCGAGTTATTTTTAGGTTGATGTGACTCATATTTTTAGAGATTATCTCTGACGATGTCATGCATGAGGCTAGTCTTTAGAGAGATTAGCATTGTTTTTGTCAGTACTTATTTTTTCAGACTTCTATGTATTCTACTATAATAGTGATTCATTCATTTTATTTTTGGCTTAGTCCCTTTATTAATCAGGGGTCGCCACAGCGGAATGTACTGCCAACTTATCCAGCATATGTTTTACCCAGCGGATGCCCTTCCGGTTGCAACCCATCACTTGGAAACACGTATTCCCTCTCAGGCACTACATACACTGCAGACAATTTAGCCTATCCAATTCACCTACTGTATAGCGCTTGTCTTTAGACTTGTAGGGTAAACCGGAGCACCCGGAGGAAACCCATGCTAACACATTAGAGAACATGCAAACTCCACACAGAAACACCAACTGACCCAGCCAGGACTTGAACCAGCGACTTTCTTTGCTGTGAGGCAATTGTGCTACCCACTGTGCCACTGTGCTGCCCTATATTATATTATATTATATTATATACTTTTTATAATATATCATATTATATTCATCATAGTATACGTTATATTCTGTTACAGTATAGCATTTTTACATCATTCATTTTTGTCAGGACTATGTAATATGTTATATTATAGTATACTATTTAATATGTTACTTTAATACTTTATTATATTCTACATTGATTGTGTTATGTTACAGTATAACAGCTTTACATCAATAATATTTTTGTCAGAATTATATGTGATATATTATAGAATATTATTTGTTATTTTACATTATACAATATATTACAGTATCATTAGTTTTACATCAATACTGATTTTGTCTTTCTGTGTACTTTGACTTGTGAAAACATTTAGCATTATGGGAATGTAGCTTTGTCTGTTTACACCAAAAACAAGATTCTTGTTTTAGAATTTGTACATTTCATCCTCCACCTAGGTTGAACTGAACATTTGACTTGTTTGCTTGTTTTTAGTTTTTAATATTTTTGAGATCCAGCAGATGGCACTGTTTTACATCTTATGGACAACTACACAGCGACTGTAGACATTTACAGAGCCAGCAGAAATAACTCCAGATTTCTGAAGGTTTTGATGGTCAGTTTTTCTGGATCTTACTTGTAGTACAGTATGTTTGCCAACACTTTGATATAGTGGTCATATTATTTATTATCTATGACTTTTACCTCAATAACAACTCATCATTTATTAATTATTCACCCACCTTTTTCACAATATCCCTGACCTCAGCCTTGCTGACAGGCAAGATTCAATTCAGTTCAATTCACATTTATTTGTAGATCACTTTTACAATGTAGATTTTGTCTACTCATCAACAGGGCCAGACTGAATCTGCAGATGTTTTTTGCTACTTCTGCTGAGAATTTTAGTAAAAATCTGCGGATTTCTGTGGAATTATTTTGGGAGTATCATAACTAAAACCTTAATATATGAAATAAAAAATAATACCTTTTTAACTTTTAATGTTTAAAATGCAAATCCAATTAGATCCACGTCGTTTGGTAAACAAAGCAAGTCTCTCATATAATATCTCTACTGAAAACTGCATTGTACATAAATCAGATGAACATTTTCACATTAGTCAATAATATTACTGTAATTAATAAAAAAACTGAATAAATATAGATTTACACACATTTACTCAAGTAAATAAACAGAACTAATGTTGGGCTAAAAATCTGCGGAAATCTGTGGAATTCTGGATTTCTGCGGATTTCTGTGTGTGCAGATTCGGTGTGGGCCTACCCATCAAAATAATAAATGAACTGGACTGAAAATTAAAGCTACATTTTTCTCTTTTTTTCCATCTTGAGACCTTTGATAACATCTGAACGGTGTAAAAGCACTAAATTTGCCTACTTTAAAAAAGTAGATTTTGATGCAAACAAGAAAATCTGTGAAGATGGGAAATATTGAGAAGGGTGAAAATTAGTAATCAAATCATATGAAGTAAAAAAAAAAACTATAGGATTGGTGATGTTTTTTTAATAATTCTTCTGCAGGTAGTGTTTTAAAAATGAGCTGTAAGAAAATCCTACCTCTACTGATAAGGGTTGGGCGATGTCCAGGGCTTAATTTGTGCCTGAACAAGCCGATCTCTCTGAAATCTGATCCGTCACCTCATTTTACGGATCTTGATTTCAAGAGTTCACCCTTAGCTGATGATTGATAATAAAGCTAGTTTGGCGTGCTGTCCCGGGAGAGAGCCCTGAGCTTATAAGATCCTCAAACCCTGGGCTCCCTCCCATTGAAAGGCGAGAGGGGAGTTTGAGCTCAGGTAGATCTCGATGACTCCCCAAAGAAGCATTTTGCGCATTGGACAGCAGCCGCGTATCGAAGAAACCCCCCAAGAGGCATAAGACAATGCTATATCCGGCTGCTGGATATAACTTTGTGGAAGGAGATAGAGGAGAGATGCTCTTGCTAGAGCAGAGTTTTAAAAACGACTCCGGGGGAGTCTAGGCAGTGACGTGGGAGGGGCTGGGAGTGACTCCTGCGGGAGTCGAGACTCTAGTGGGCTCCTGCGGGAGCCAGAGCCGGGGTGGGCGGGTTTCTGTGGGAGTCAGGAAAGGTTTTTGGGCGGTGTTGACTCCGGCGGAAAAGGGGTGTGAGTTAGAGGAGGGGGTAGGAACTCCTGTAGAGTTGAAGCTAGGGGAACTCCGTGGGAGTCTGAACTAAGGGAGTGAGGGCCTATGTGGAAGGAAGAAAAGGATAGTGGATGACTCAACACTAGAAGAAAGAAAGATAGCAGTAAACTTATGTTGAAGGAAGAAAATTAGCGGAGGAACTCAACGCTGTGAAAGAAGGGGGAGAGGGGGGGAAGTGGGAGTAAAAGGTTTGGGGGGGGGGGGGGCAGAAGTGCTCGGCGCTGTAATAAAGAAAAGAAGGGGCGCATAAATGCCTGAAGGAAGATAGAAAGAGGGACAGAGGAACTGAACGTCAGAAAGAAAGAAAAGTTAGGAGGTTTTTTTTCCCTCTAGTGGCCGGGGAGGGGAAGTGATTGACTCCTGCGGGAGTCGAAGCTCAGGGTAACTCCTGCGGGAGTTAGAGCTGCGGGGGCGATACTCTTGCTGGAGTCAGGGAGAATGGGGGGGTGGTGAAGACTCTAGTGAGAGGTGGCCGTGGCATGATTCCTGTGGCAATCGAAGCTTGTTTTAGTCACTCCTGTTAGAGTGAGAGCTGAGTTAGAGCTGGGGAATGATGGCCTATGGAAAAGAGAGAGTAGCGGAGGAACTCAATGCTAGAAGAAAGATAGTATTGCGACTGAACTGGTCGCTAAAGAGAAAAAAAGGGGAGGAACTCCCGCTGAAAAGATCAGTGGGGGAGGGGGGAGAGATGGGAAACAGTAAAGGGGATCAGAAAAAAGGGGGGACAGAGAGCGGAATTACTCAACACTGAAAGTAGAAAAAGGGGCTATTAAATGCCGGTAGGGAGATAGAAAGAGGGGCTGAGGATCTTGAGGCCGGAAAAGGTAAAGGGGTGGGGGGGGGGGGGGGAACTAGTGGCTGGGGGGGGACAAAACTGTTTATTGGCTGTAGTCCAGTTTAGCGCCTTAATGGCATGAGAACGCCCCTTAATGAAGCATTGGACAGCCGCTTCAGTGTCGCAGTGTACGAGAATGCTAGATGCAGCCAATTTGTAGCCTGCAAGATAGCTATGATGGGATATAGTTCAAAAGGGGATGATTGTTGGTTCTGAGGATTTTGAGCATTTGGGGGGACCATAGTGAAGTGAACCCGCGCCCTTGGTAATATCCCCCGAAACCAACTGAAGGGGCTCAATAAAGAAATTAGATCAGATATTGTGGGGTGGATTGAGAGATTGAAATTTGAGGTTAGTTCAGAACATCTCAAAATCAAAAGGCTAGTGTGAACATGTCAGGTTTGGCTGTGTGAGTGGAATGTATCCTTTATGAAGAGTGTGAATGTATTTGGAACGGGTGTGGAGAGTAATAGGTTGGATGGGGGTCAGCTTCTGGAGCCGGCAGTCATGATCTCTGAAATTGAAAAACAAACAGAATTAGAAATCAAATCTTTACAACATATTACATGTATGGCAGACATGAAATTGTTTTAGCTGATATCAATGCGAGGCATCTTAAAAAGGGCATGGGCGACTGTAAATGGAAGCGCCATAGTTTACTGGTTTACTGGTTGGGTAATAATCTTTTCAGCAGTTAAATGGCTATTGAATTTTTTTAAATATTATTATTATTATTATTATAATTTTAATTATTATTGTTATCATTATTATTAATTAATTAATTAATTAATTAATTTATTTATTTATAATATTATTATTATTTTATTTATTTATTTTTATTTTGTATTTTTTATTATATTTATCAATTGTCTACATCAAACTTTATAAGACTTAAAAGTGATGTCACCACTTAGTAAAACTGTAAATGGAATGTTAGTAATGGCTTTACTTTAATCTATGAATAACATTTTGTTGTAATCTTAACTTTACTTAATTCACAAGCGTGTCTGGCAAAATTCAATCATAAGGTCTTAGCAAGAGAGTCGAGAGAGAGGGCGGGACCATCTCCAGTTATTTAGAGCTCATTGGATGGTGACGCTTCTCCTTACAGCTATTGGCTTAGGAGTTTCAGTCAGGCTATGCAAAAGGTGCAAAAAGCCCAGCGGCCATTTTGTTGATCAAAGTCAACATTGTATGTCACTAGAGCTGCTGCTCTGCTGAACATATCCCAGCAAACAAGCTGTTAAATGATGGATCGCATGTGTACTGCTAGGAGAAGGTGAGGGTTCAGTTTCATTGCAATAGCTTTGGAGTTTTGCTGATATCTTGCTGGGGAATAGGGTTGAAGACACAGCAGATGCGTTGTGGAGGCACTTTGAAGTGGAAGGTTTTGGTGTTGTTGTTTAAGCTGTTGATGAAATTGTTGGAGTTGGAGTTGTTTGAATTGGTAGTAATAGTAGTGGTTGTTGCTGTAGTTTGTAGATTGAAGCTTTTAGCTTGTAGGTTAAATCTTGAAGCGTTTGTAGTTGCGGAGCAGAGCTTTCTTCAAGACGAAGATATTGAGATGAGAAAAGTCTGGTTATTTATAGTGAGTTAAGGATCGTCTGATAGGATAATCAGTCGTTAGCTTAAGTTGGAACAGCTGTGAACAATCATAAGCACATGATCCTCTCGAAATTTGTTTTTAAATAAACTTCACTTAAACCTGCGCAACATGAGCGATAAATGATAATAGTGATTTGTGTGTGTTTATTAATGTTTCTAAGTGCAGCATATCTGTGTTTGATCATGAGTTATTCAGTTTTTACACTTCAGTTAGTTACGAAGTGGCAGCAGTTACATTGTTTAACCAATAGGTGGTGACAAACAAGCAGCAAAAGCATGTCACTGAATGATGCATCTAGTCATGAAACATGAAGTTTTATGAGTGAATTATTGAATCGTTAATGAAAATGAGACTAAAAAAATATTTTCTACTAATGACATTTATAATACTACTAATGTCCTCTCCCCTTTTTGACTGATATAAAAAATGTTCTGATACCTGATTAAAAAAACATAATATCATGCAAACCGTGAGATTTGTGATCTATTACATTACTCCCACTTACTCTAGCACTTAGGGCGTTCTCACACTATGTACAGTTGGCTTGAACCAGACCGAAGCACGCTTGTCCCCCCTCTCGCTCCCCCGATGGCCCGCACTCACATTGCATTCGAGCCTGAGCACGCTTACGTCAGCGATGATGCGCTGTTCAGGCACTCTCGCTTCGCACAGTGGAGAGTTCTTCAGTTATATCATTTCAGTGGTTTGATGTGCAGTGATACGCAGTCAAATGTTTAGCAGTCCCGGTGCTGCAGGAATTAGGAGGTTTGCTGAAGGTGCAGCTGTCATGCAGTGAGGGGTTTGCGTCTTTGATAAACTAACACAGTTTGTGTTCATTGAACAGTAAGAATGATTAATTAATCCATATTAAGCAGTTCCTTTAAAGTCATGTCTCACTTTCAGTTTCGGGCTCAGGTGCATTTTGCACTCACACACAAGTGTACCGCGCCAAAGCCCAAGTGAACCGCGCTCTGGCACACCTCTTCCAACTGGGCCAGGGCCGGCCAATTGAACCTCCCCTGAGTCCGATTCAGTGCACTCACACTTCCCTTAGGTTCAGATCCCACTAAGGTCCACTAGGTTCGGATAGCCTAGTGTGAGTGTGCTGTAGGGCCTCACGATTCTGGCAAAAAAGTGAATCACGATTCTTTTTCCTTAAAATCAAGATCATGATTCTTTCTCACGATTCTGTAGATGTAAAAGAAAGGGTAATATGATTAACCTATTAATATTGTTCATTCTCAAACATTTGGTAAAACAACAAAAATAATTATATTAGGCCTATGTGTAGCTCTACTGTTGCTTAAAATGCTCAATTTTGTATTATGGTGGACTTGAACAGACTCTCAGTATGTCCTGTTTGTTAATTCATAGTAAAATGATGACATCAGAATACAACTATTCATGATCATTAGCTTTATTTATTATGTTTGAGACATGTGCTTGTATTCTGTCATTGACAACATTATTAGACCATTATATTCTTTTTATATAGGCTAGGGTTGTTATACTGACACAGTAAACATTTATTCTCATGCACAACACTTTGTGTTTGCTATATAAGAAAAAAACAGATCAAATGCGTGTCGTAATCACAACTCTAAAATGCGATATGATCATTTAAATGATGTGCGCACAGGTTTCACTTTCAACTAGTGCTGCTAATGGCTGCCGTCACTGTGAAAAAAAACACACACATGCAAATCAAACCTCCCGCACGGCCCTCAAACGATCACTCTGTACAACAAACTGAACTTTATTTACAACTTCATAACCTGTTATTCAAAGCCTATGCATGTTGTGTTCACTAAAGTAGGCGTCATAGACGGGCACACGCGCATTCTCGGCAGTAAACAAACAGTGCGTCAGCTCACGTGTGATTTCGCGACCGTGAATACATCATTACATGAAGACAGAAATGACATTTTGGGTGAATTATATATTTTAAATGCAGTGTGTGACACTTTTAACGCCTTTTGAAGGTATCCATGTTGCTGTAAAGACTTCTGCGGCCGCCTTTTCTTCTTTCCTGACCGTTCGTAGAAAAAGCTGAATTAGGATCGTGTGTAGGGTCGAATCAAGATGGTGATCTTTTTTCAATTAATCGTGCAGCTCTAGTGTGCAGCACTTCCTGTGTGTATTGCCTCTTCTTGTTGAATCACTAAATACCTCCTCAATTGTAAGTCGCTTTGGACAAAAGCATCTGCTAAAAGACTAAATGTTAATGTAAGTGTACAGGGGTTTGCCCATAAAAGTGAAATACCTGGTTTTAATTCATTATTATGGTGCAGGGCTTCCTTTTTGAACCATTACAGCATTAGTTGGTCTTGAGATTGGCAGACTCAAGTCCTGCACAGCGGTCAGAGGGATTGTGAGCTGTTCTTCTTCAGAATAGTGTTCAGGTCACCACTGATGCTGCTGGAGGAAAACCTTTCCTGACCCGCTCCTCCAAAACAGCCCAAAGTACTCAAAAATGTTTAGATCTCTATACTGTGCAGGCTATATGAGATGTTCAACTTCACTTTCATCTTCATCAGACCGCTCTGTCTCCAGTCCTGCTGTGTGCATTGCTGTATTATCATGATACACGCCACCGCCTTCAGGATACAGTGTTTGACCCACTGGGTTACATGGTGCTCCAGAATGATTGGGTTGTCCTTGGCAGTGAACAACTGCTCATCAAGCACCAGCATTGGGCCTCACTAATGCCATGATATTGAGCCCGAACCATCACTGATATTAAGCCCAAACCCCAACCATCTATCAAATCTAACCATCTATCCCGTCCTATCAAAATAGCAAACACTGAACATCTCTCTATATGTAGGCTAAAAGACTGCTTTATTTATTTATTTAAGACTACTTATTTGTACTGAATGTTTGTGCTTTCATTTTAGTTGTCTTTTATTAATTCAATTCTATTTTCCATAACGAGTTCTCTGTGCACTTAACATGTTTACAATAAAGTATGTTAACACATTTTAAATGATTAATGAAGGAATTATAATGCTTTGACTTATTGTTTAATCTCATGTACAAGCACAGTAGCATATATAAAGCTGCTTTATAGGGTATTTCTGTCCGTTCACATCCCGTCCCTTTGTGCCCCCTGCCGGCTTATTCACAAACTGTGGTCATACAGTAAAAATAGAGCGGCAGCAATTGCAAACGGCGGCGGTATAAGCTCCGGTGGTAATGGCCACTTTGAACTCTCACCAATTGCATCAACCTAGAAAAAAGGGGCTTTTTCATTTTCTGTCAGTCTTGGTAAACGAGTTAACTACAGAAGAGTCCAGCTTTACATAGGAAAATTGCCAAACTTTCAATTAAATTTTTTTTAGCAAAATAACAATGGCTTAATTCAAATCTATGACCTATGCTAAGCTATGGCCAAACTCCCCCGTCCCTTTTCTAAAGGTGGAAAAATCCTAGAATGAATGTGTTTGTTGTTGTTTGCTCATGTTAGTAAATGCATTAACCTTATTGTAAAGTGTTACCAAAACATTTATATTGCACAGAAGAATGTCATACACGTGTAAAACAACAGGAAGGCAGGAAAACGATGACATATTAAGATAAAATGCTGATTGATAGTATTTTGTAATCATTTACATCTCACATGCTTCAGAAAAAGATGATGAAACTGCCCAAAACAGATCTAATCTGAAATGAAACTCCACTGATAAGGAAGTTCTCACAGCTGAAACATGTGCAGAGAAATAATAGACCAACACAGGAATTAAAAATATTTATTTATTCATCACTTATAATCCTAGTTGTGCCACCAATTTACAAACATGTCTTGATACAACAATAAGTCTCTTATTATGACATTGTGATAAATACATCCTTCAACTTATCTAACTGATTAAATATTACAGAAATAAAACAATACCACATCCAACATGAGCAACAATAATACATGTGATACATGAACTCACAGAAAAGCCCTCTAGGTTTAGAATGAGTGATTCTTTTGGTGACACTTTTGATGTTTAAATAATCAGAAAAATAGATTTTTTTTTGAATAAATAATTTAGAAATACTCAAAACTTTATAACATTTACACAAAAACTAAATACTAGCTACTTGCTGAAGTTTCATTAAATAAGTTGCACAGGTTTTCATAGACCTTATTTTATTCATAGGCTTTATTTACCCCAGATATTTCTGATGTCATATCCTGTGACTATAGCATTCTCACAAGTTGTTTTACGGGTTTCATAATCACTGAAAAACTTCATTCCGTTTGTTAATCAAAGACAGTTCCTGGCTTTTCAAAGACAGCCAGCATAAAGATGACCTTTAACATTTTCCATAACATGGGTTTGCTTTTAGAGAAGTTACGATGCATTTCAAAGGATCCACAGGCATGCGAGATAAAAAATTTGACTGATTACTTCAATTAGTTCAGCATAAAAAAATAATAATTGCAGATCTAATCTCATTTCTGGAAAATCAACAAATTATGCATCATTATCCATCACTCTGCATTTATTTATAGACTGCACGAAATATCCGCAAATTGGCAGTTGTCTGTATTTAGTGATTCATGTTTATATAATTTTTTTTTAGTTTATTTCTGCTTTTTAATTGCATTATGGGACCTTAAACTTTCTTCTAACCACTTTTAACCTTGAAAAGTTGCATAAAGTGACTTTTATGAGCATTTTCAAACGTCTAAAATGTCAATAAAAGTCCCTTTGTTAAACTGTAGATTTGAATTTACGACATCAAAAGGAGACAGAGATCGACATCCCATAATGCAATTCACAAGCGCAAATAAACATTTTTGAATCACAAAACACGGAAATTAGGTTGATGAACAGATATTTTGATTGCTAAATGTAACCATCCTGGAAAAATACATTAACTGATAGAGAAAGCAACACAAGTGCATCATGCTGGCTTTAGAAACGTCATCCTATGATCGTTTGCTTTGAAGTTTTCAGTGTATGATTACGTCAAATGTAACATTCATTACTACTCATCAAGCACTGTAGCATCAGTAGATTTACATTTGAGTCCTTCACTTGATCATGTGTGCTGTAGTTACGATCAATGAAGTTGGGGAAGCAGAAGAGACACCGCCGCCAGGAGTAAAGCGACCAGCACACTGATCTTTTGACTGACTTCAGCTGATGAATACGCTGTTTACAGAAAAAGAGAACAAGACAGAATTTAGCATTCAGTGACGGTTTCAAAGACTGCCTAAAGCTCTTCTTGTAAAGCAGACAGAGAACATCGTAACACTGCCAATCTGAACTGGAAAATATGTGTGAAAAATGACAAGCTTGTAGTCTACATTCCGGTAGTAAAAAAACCAACACCCTTTTTTATTGCTTATGTTTCATCTTCAAAACACGGCATGACATTTGCTTACAGAAATGGCTAATTTGCCATTAATATCTAATATCTAAAAGTGTGTTTTATTGATTATAGATCAGGTTTTGATGATCTGTGGATAATTCATGCATTAAATGTGCACCTGTTTCACACGTTTACAGTGCACTTGCTGTCACCCACTAAACTTTGTGTATTTAAGTTTAAATACATGCAAACATTGCACTTTAAAATGCTCCCACTGCCTTTGTTTAATGTTCCAACGCCTTTTTCTTGGCATTCACTTTTTCATAAGAGCGAATCAGTGGATCTTACTAAAAACATTACTATGTTTTACATATGTATAACCAATGAATAATTCATATAAAATTATACATTTTGCCCACAAACTCCACCTCTAAACCTATGGAGGAATGAGCAAATCCCATACTAAAAAGGAAAAAATGAGACCCTACAAATGAATAAGAATTAGCCACTAAATCAGAAAGATGTGAATCGTAAGTATAATAAATACACAAGTTATTTTTCTGTCATAGAGCCCCTGTGAGATGCGAGTCTCCTCTTTATCTTCCAACTATATTAGATCTATGTTATGATTTATATTCGTTTAAAATATTTTTAGATGCATTTTGTACTTTTTAGGATTTATCTTATGTAAATATAGGACATTAAACACTTTAATTGTGCATATATCGTGACATTATTACTATTTTGTGTCAATCATTGGTCATTTAGCTACAGAGCATAAATTCTCTGTATCCATCGCATTAAAAATAGACCACTGAACTTCTGTGCTTGCACCGCAGCTGCATGCATTGTGAAAGCTTGTTAAAAATACAGATCACAAGCGTACTGCAGATTGAGTACCGTATATGTGCAACAGGCATTATACTTGATTAATTACTTGAATTACCCACATTATAAACATGTTCTACTGTGCTACTTAAACTAAAAAAAAGCTAATACGCTGATATAAGTGCATCACATACCTGTGTTATTCACTATGATTTGATTTGTGAAGATCTGGAAGGATATCGTGTTGTTCTTGGCTGCTCGAACTACAGTGTTCACTATCTGGGTGGCATTAGGTAGAGTTGCTTCTGCTACGAATGTGACATCCATGGTATTTTGGATTGTGGCCACACTCCCTGCTTTTACCACACTACTGACACTACTGCAAAGAGAGAGCAATCAACAGTCAGACATGAGAACTGAGTATCACACGACAGCAATATCTATAAGAACACAGCAGCATATTGTGCATACCTGAGTTTAGTTAAGGTTAACACGCTGAAATTTCCAGGGTAGTCGGCAATAAAGAAAGGTTCAAGCTGCAATACAAATCATTTAGTTTAGTCAGAGTTCTTCTTTTATAAATAGAGGAGACTCTTCATGCTTACCTCTGTTTTTAACAACGATGCCCTGCTCTGGAACTCAGCAGAACTTGTGTTTGAGAAAGCAGCCACAAAGGTTCCATTGGTCAGGATCGTCAATGGGATTAACTGCACTGACTCTATAAAAATACAGGGGGGGTTCTGTTTAAAGACAGGACATTCTAGACAAGTTAATGTGAGTGTTTTATTTAGTGTGAGCATCTTAGGAACTGGCCCAATTAGACAAATCACACTCTTAACCCAAAAAATTGACTTCACTGGAAAATTCTGTAGAAATCTGTTGCCTTAGATCACTTAAACCACACAAAGTGAAAGTCATCAACCCTAATTGAATTAACATCTAAAATAAAGTTCTTTGTAGTTCTATGTTAAGTCAGCTAGGGCTGTTTAGTTTCACCTCATGCAAAATCTTTGAGTGATTTTTGGGATTGGACACACCAAGCTCATGGGGGCCATTGTTGGTTTGGCTAATGTGTTTGCTGTGTTTCACGTGTCGCCTCAGCCTTTGTTTGTTAGCTGTAGTGTTGAGAGGGGTCTGGATGCAGACCTAGTGCAGTGCAATCTGAGCTGCATCCAATGCTTTTTAATGGTCTCACCTAACCCCACCCCTATCCCTACCGCTCATAGTGACGTCACTCACTCTATTGTGTCTCAGCTTGCATCATGAAGGATGCATCCAGATACTATTGGTAGAGTCACCGATACCAGTTTATTTGAGTGGGTGGTTGTAGATCTGAAACAAGCTCCATCTCTACTGGTCTACCTCAGGGGGCAGTTTTAGGCCTGCTACTTTTTAACATTTAATTTATCTATTTTAGGCCACTTAAGGGTGAGATTGACAGGGGGATCGGTGCAGCGGCAGCAGTAATCTGGTCAATGTACCGGTCCATTGTGGTAAAGAAGGAGCTGAACCGAAGGCAAAGCTCTCTATTTACCGGTCAATCTACGCTCCAACTCTCACCTATGGTCATGAGCTTTGGGTCATGACTGAAAGTACAAGATCTCGGATACAAGCGGCTGCTCCTCCACATTGAGAGAAGTCAGCTGAGGTGGCTCTGGGCATCTGTTTCGGATGCCTCCTGTATGCCTACCCAGGGAGGTGTTCCAGGCATGTCCCGACGGGAGGAGGCCTCGGGAAAGACCCAGGACACGCTGGTGGGACTATGTCTCTCAGCTGGCCTGAGAACGCCTGGGGATCCCCCCGCAGGAGCTGGAGGAAGTGTCTGGGGAGAGGGAAGTTTGGGGTTCTCTCCTTAGACTGCTGGGTGGCATAAGCGGATGAACATGGCATGCCATGATTTTAGGCCACATACTGCGGTCTACGCTACTAGACAGACTAGACGGCTGTAATTTTTTCTGTATTTCTCAATATTTGCATACAATATGGATTATTAGGTTATTAAACATATTTGCATGAGTGAATCCCTCAATGGTGAGTGTGAGAGTGATACTAAACGCTGCTTTGTTTACGCTTTGTATGTGCACATCTCATCTTCTGGTTTTCCTTTGTGGAGTGAAAAGATATGTGTGGAAAGACACTTTTACGTCAGGCACAGAACACATGCTCTTCTTTCAGTTGGCCGGTGTCGGTTTGTTATGTTCAATGTGCAGCTTTTTGCTCGGCTTGGTGTGTCCTGGCCCTTAGGCCACAAGTTTCCACGTAATTGTCTAGTAAAGTAAACTACTTTAGTTTCTGATTTTAACTTACTGATGACACTAATAGTGGCGACGTCGACGGTGAGGTTCAAGCCTGAGCTAGGATTTGCCGCTGCTTCTTTCAGGGTATTTACAACGGCAGTGCTGGTGGGAACAGGTTCAGTGGATGCTTGATTGAATATAATATCAACCTGTGCCTGGACATTTTGGTCTGCACGGGTTTTGGTAATAGCTCTGTAAAGAAAAACAACAGTAAGTTTTTTCATTCATGACTGCCGCAAAATAGTGGGATTGAAATGGATGCTGATTGTGATACAAAAAGCAATTGAGCATGATTGAGCATTAGTTGATAAGTGATTCATTTACATAGTGAAGCAGATGATTAACTCACATGAAAGCTTTGACGACGGTCCTGAGGAAACGAGGCCCAAACTGGGCTCTGTAGATTTCATCAAACTGTGTAAACAGATGGTCAACATTAAGAATGTTTCTGACTTCTTGGTGAATCAATTATATTTCATGGAAGCAAGTCACATTCTCGGCTGCTATGTAGAATTCAGAAAGCATTATTATTAGCAACACCGTTGTAAAATACCACCAACACCACTGGCTTAAATGCAGTTCCAAACTCTTTGGCTTAATGCCTTAAGCACTTCCCTCCAACCAATCATTTCACATGCTTTGAAGAACTGTACAAAAAGTCTAACTTTACCCTGTATTTTATTAGAAATAATTATGCATTTTCAATCTCATATTAATGCCAAAGCAACAAATGTAAATGTTGACTAACGGCTTGATCCACTGAGTGGCCCAGTTTGTAGATGTACCAAATAATTGAACATAACTTTTAATAAAGCTCTTTGGTTGCAGCTTAAAACTTACTTCTTTCTCTACTTTGGTGGCGAGGTTCTTAAATTCCGGGGTTGCTGGGTTTGCTAACTCTTGAACATATACCACTACAAGGACAACCTGAATGGCTACAACTGGAGGAGGACGTGTTGGTACTAATGTTGTTGTTGTTGTTGTTGTTGTTGGTTGTGTAGTTGTTGTAGTTGTCGTTGTTGTTCGTGGTGTAGTTGTCGTTGTTGTTGTTGTTGTTGTCGTTGTTGTTGCTGGTGTGGCTGTGGTTGTAGTTGTTGTTGTAGTAGGAATGACTGTAGTCGTCGCTTTTGTAATAGGTGTGGTAGTAGGAATGACTGTAGTCATCGCTGTTGTTGTAGTAGGTGTTGTAGTAGGAATGGCTGTAGTTGTCACTGTAGTAGGTGTTGTAGTAGGAATGGCTGTAGTTGTCACTGTTGTAGGAATGGCTGTAGTTGTCACTGTAGTAGGTGTTGTAGTAGGAATGGCTGTAGTTGTCACTGTTGTAGGAATGGCTGTAGTTGTCACTGTAGTAGGAATGGCTGTAGTTTTCACTGTAGTAGGAATGGCTGTAGTTGTCACTGTAGTAGGAATGGCTGTAGTTGTCACTGTAGTAGGAACGGCTGTAGTTGACCCTGTGGTTGTGGTTGTAGTTGGTATGGTAGTTGGATTTACTATAATGTCCATTTGAATGTTTGGTAAAACAGAAACAGAACAGAGCAATTGTTAATCATATGTCACCAGTCTTGTTAATTTCACATGTAACAGCTAATGTATAGTCTAATAACACAGGAGAAATACCAAAAGCATCCAAAATTTTTTAAAATGATACTGCATTGTTGAAGATGCTCGTTTAACTTACCCTCTGCTCCGGTGACAGGAAAAGTAAGGTTTGCAGTGGTGATAGTGCTGATTATGTCCTCATTAGTGGGTACAGTTGTAAATGTTACATTTACATCAGCGAGGATTGATCCAGGACTAGAAGAGGCACAAGGAGGAGAAAGAGTTATGGTCATTTTTAAATGTGAGGCTTAATACAGAAAGTCTTGTAATTCATTTGGAGGAAAATACATTCTGGTGATATTGCTAAAGAAGCTGTGATTTACAAAAAACTGCAATGCTATTTTAGAAGTATTTAATCCCAGATCATTTGTGGAACTCTTTACAAGATGCATGGAGACAAAAGTACTAGAACGCTACTGTACAGTTCTGAGCACTTGTTAAAATGGGTCAGTTTCTATAGTAAGTTATTTTTGCATCTTGGTGAAGTTGCCATAATTCTTCACAGGATTTAGGGCTGAGACGCAGTGTCTGTTGTATCTTTATCTCAATCTTACAGCAATAAAGGTATAAATAAGAAAAGAAATACCCACCTGAACCTAATAACTGCCAATCTGATGTATGAATTGCCATATTTTCTTTTAAAGACTGGGTCAAGCTGTGGAAACATTTGAACAATGTTAGGTTCAACACAAACATTCATTGAGTTTCATCACAGTTAAAACTACTATGTGAAATATTTAATTTAGTTTATTTTATGTACTTTGTCCACCCATTTTTCACCACCCATGCCAACAAGCAGAGTGATTAATAATTGTATTTCAATGATCAGAGTCTGCTATTATAAAAAATTGCAGCATACTGATGTGCAAAACAATTGCCAAAATGTGTGTTTTCAGCATTTGTCACACAACATACCTCTTCGACTTTGTTGACTCTCGTTCTATATCCTTGTGAAGTTGAATCTAACAATTCATTTGTAAATTGATCCGAGCTGGAAATCCTAACTAAAACTGTAGATGTGATTTGGGTTGTTGCTTGAGGGGTGCCTGCAGTTGGTGCGGTGGTTGTAGGTTGAACTGTTGGTGATGTTGTAGGTGCAGAGGTAATGGTGGCTGTTATTGGTGTGGTTGTTGTTTCTGATTGTGTTATAGTTGTGAAGGAAGCAGTAGTTGCAGTAATAGGTTGTGTACTAGTTAAGACTGTGGTTGTAGTTGTAGATGAGCCTGTTTCTGTAACAGGGGCAGTAGTTGTTGTTTGTTCTGTTGTAGACGTCAAAGGACTTGTAGATGTTAGGACAGCTGTACTTGTCAGTTGTGTTTCTGTAACAGGGGCAGTAGTCGTAGATACATGTTCTGTTGTTGTTGTAATAGGCGCAGTGGTTGTAGTTGATGGTTCTGTTGTAGATGTGTGTTCTGTTGTTGTTGTAACAGGCGCAGTGGTTGTAGTTGATGGTTCTGTTGTAGATGTGTGTTCTGTTGTTGTTGTAACAGGCGCAGTGGTTGTAGTTGATGGTTCTGTTGTAGATGTGTGTTCTGTTGTTGTTGTAACAGGCGCAGTGGTTGTAGTTGATTGTTCTGTTGTAGATGTGTGTTCTGTTGTTGTTGTTGTAACAGGGGCAGTGGTTGTAGTTGATGGTTCTGTTGTTGATGTGTGTTCTGTTGTTGTTGTAACAGGTGCAGTGGTTGTAGTTGATGTGTGTCCTGTTGTAGATGTAGGTTCTGTTGTTGTTGTAACAGCCGCAGTGGTTGTAGTTGATGGTTCTGTTGTAGATGTGTGTTCTGTTGTTGTTGTAACAGGTGCAGTGGTTGTAGTTGATTGTTCTGTTGTAGATGTGTGTTCTGTTGTTGTAACAGGGGCAGTGGTTGTAGTTGATGGTTCTGTTGTAGATGTGTGTTCTGTTGTTGTTGTAACAGGGGCAGTGGTTGTAGTTGATTGTTCTGTTGTAGATGTTTGTTCTGTTGTTGTAACAGGGGCAGTGGTTGTAGTTGATTGTTCTGTTGTAGATGTGTGTTCAGTTGTTGTTGTAACAGGTGCAGTGGTTGTGGTTGATGGTTCTGTTGTAGATGTGTGTTCTGTTGTTGATGTTATAGGGGCAGTGGTTGTAGTTGATGATTCTGTTGTAGATGTGTGTTCAGTTGTTGTTGTAACAGGCGCAGTGGTTGTAGTTGATAGTTCTGTTGTAGATGTGTGTTCTGTTGTTGTAACAGGGGCAGTGGTTGTAGTTGATGGTTCTGTTGTAGATGTGTGTTCTGTTGTTGTTGTAACAGGGGCAGTGGTTGTAGTTGATGGTTCTGTTGTAGATGTGTGTTCTGTTGTTGTTGTAACAGACGCAGTGGTTGTAGTTGATGGTTCTGTTGTAGATGTGTGTTCTGTTGTTGATGTTATAGGGGCAGTGGTTGTAGTTGATGGTTCTGTTGTAGATGTGTGTTCAGTTGTTGTTGTAACAGGCGCAGTGGTTGTAGTTGATGGTTCTGTTGTAGATGTGTGTTCTGTTGTTGTTGTAACAGGTGCAGTGGTTGTGGTTGATGGTTCTGTTGTAGATGTGTGTTCTGTTGTTGATGTTATAGGGGCAGTGGTTGTAGTTGATGGTTCTGTTGTAGATGTGTGTTCAGTTGTTGTTGTAACAGGCGCAGTGGTTGTAGTTGATGGTTCTGTTGTAGATGTGTGTTCTGTTGTTGTTGTAACAGACGCAGTGGTTGTAGTTGATTGTTCTGTTGTAGATGTGTGTTCAGTTGTTGTTGTAACAGGTGCAGTGGTTGTGGTTGATGGTTCTGTTGTAGATGTGTGTTCTGTTGTTGATGTTATAGGGGCAGTGGTTGTAGTTGATGGTTCTGTTGTAGATGTGTGTTCAGTTGTTGTTGTAACAGGCGCAGTGGTTGTAGTTGATGGTTCTGTTGTAGATGTGTGTTCTGTTGTTGTTGTAACAGACGCAGTGGTTGTAGTTGATGGTTCTGTTGTTGATGTGTGTTCTGTTGTTGTTGTAACAGGTGCAGTGGTTGTAGTTGATGGTTCTGTTGTAGATGTGTGTTCTGTTGTTGTTGTAACAGGCGCAGTGGTTGTGGTTGATGGTTCTGTTGTAGATGTGTGTTCTGTTGTTGTTGTAACAGGCGCAGTGGTTGTAGTTGATGGTTCTGTTGTAGATGTGTGTTCTGTTGTTGTTGTAACAGGCGCAGTGGTTGTGGTTGATGGTTCTGTTGTAGATGTGTGTTCTGTTGTTGTTGTTTCAGGGGCAGTGGTTGTGGTTGATGGTTCTGTTGTAGATGTGTGTTCTGTTGTTGTTGTAACAGGGGCAGTGGTTGTAGTTGATTGTTCTGTTGTAGATGTGTGTTCTGTTGTTGTAACAGACGCAGTGGTTGTGGTTGATGGTTCTGTTGTAGATGTGTGTTCTGTTGTTGTTGTTTCAGGGGCAGTGGTTGTAGTTGATTGTTCTGTTGTAGATGTGTGTTCTGTTGTTGTAACAGGCGCAGTGGTTGTGGTTGATGGTTCTGTTGTAGATGTGTGTTCTGTTGTTGTTGTAACAGGCGCAGTGGTTGTAGTTGATTGTTCTGTTGTAGATGTATGTTCTGTTGTTGTAACAGGCGCAGTGGTTGTGGTTGATGGTTCTGTTGTAGATGTGTGTTCTGTTGTTGTTGTAACAGGCGCAGTGGTTGTAGTTGATAGTTCTGTTGTAGATGTGTGTTCTGTTGTTGTTGTAACAAGGGCAGTGGTTGTTGTTGATTGTTCTGTTGTAGATGTGTGTTCTGTTGTTGTTGTTGTAACAGGGGCAGTGGTTGTGGTTGATGGTTCTGTTGTAGATGTGTGTTCAGTTGTTGTTGTAACAGGGGCAGTAGTTGTAGTTGTTTGTTCTGTAGTAGATGTTAAAGGACTTGTAGAGGTTAGTAAAGTTGTACTTGTCTGTTGTGTTGTTTCTGTAACAGGTGCAGTAGTTGTATCTGGAGGTGTGGTCATCATTGTTTCTGGGTTTGGAGTGACTGTAAACAGCAGAAAACTATTAATCTCCGGTCTATGTCACCAGTCTATTTTCACATGTAGCAGCTATAGTTTATTATAACTGCAGTAATACCAAAAGCATCCTAAATTGTTTTAAATAATACTGCACTGTTCAAGATGCTTGTTTAACTCACCCTCTGCTCTGGTGACAGTAAAACTCAGGGTTGCAGATTTGATAGTGCTGATTATGTCCTCATTAGCGGGTGCAGTTGTAAATGTTACACCTATATCAGTGAGGGTTGATCCAGGACTAGAAGAGGCACAGGGAAGAGAGAAAGTTATGGGCCTGTTTAATGTAACTCTCAATAAAGAAATTCTTATCACACATTTGGGTAGGGATGTAACGATTCACCTAACCCACGATGTGATACGATTCATGATACTAATCTCATGATACACAATTTTATAACAAAATGATTTATTAATTTTCTTTTTGGCTTAGTCTCTTTATTAAGTAGGTGTCGCCACAGTGGAATGAACCACCAACTTATCCAGCAAATGTTTTACACAGCGGATGCCCTTTCAGCCACAACTCAACACAGGGAAACACCCATGCACACTCATTCACACACACTCATATACTACGGCCAGTTTAGTTGATCAATTCCCCTATAGCACATGTGTTTGGACTGTGGGGGAAACCAGAGCACCCAGAGGAAACCCACACCAACACGGGGAGAACATGCAAACTCAACACAGAAATGCTAACTAAACAAGCCTGGACTCGAACCAGTGCCTTTCCTGGTGTGAAACATTCGTGCTACCCACTGCGCCACCGTGCTGCCCCTAACAAAATTATTTGAAACAAATTTAAGGTGAAGAACCCTTTAATATCACAATAATTTATTTTCTGCCATGACTAAATTGCTATTTTAAAAACAAATTAGTGTAGTTGTAGTTGTTTGTTCTGTTAGTGTAAGTAAACGTCTTTTTGCAGTATTTGCACACAGTTAGTGCTCTGTCTGGTGCACCTCACCCCTGTCATTTTAGTCTATTTTAGCGCCCGCTCTTTTTTTTCTGTGTCATTTTTTCACTGTCACAAAATCCGAATTTGAATCATTATCAGCATTGTTAAATACACCAGTCAGTAAAGTTTATAGCTATTTTCCATTTTTATTAGGGCAAATTATATATATATTAGCCCTAATAAAAATGGCAAAAAAAAGTTTTTTTATAAAAACTTTATAAAAAAACCTATATATATATATATATATATATATATATATATATATATATATATATATATATATATATATATATATATATAGGTTTTTTATAAAGTTTGACCGATTCACGATTTCAATTTCGATTTTTATTTTTTTTATTGTTTAATTTATTTTTTTTCATCGTGTAACTAGTCAACTTAAAACATTACAACAACATGACTGAAGTAATATTCTCTTTAGAAGTAACTTGAAAAACCATCTGGTTAAGGAACATAGGATTTTTAATGGCCATGCCATACATAATTTGGTCAAGGTGTAAATAAATGTAAAACAAATTCACAAATTAAACATTGTTGCAGAAGATTTAAAAAATATATTAGTGTAAATATTGCACTTGCAGGAACACAGAGGTATTTTTTGCAAGTTTTGCTTTGCTTTAAAGATTGGCTGTCAGCTCGTCTTTGTCTTCTTCTGATTGAATGTCAGGTTGTAAAGCTGCTGCCTTTTTCTTAAAAAGATACAGTGGAAGAAAAGGACTGAACATGGAAACTGTAAAGCCTAATTTAACCCAATGTGTGAAGTAGTGGACGTATAGCAGGAGCAAATACAAGCACCAGATGTGTGTCTAATATAGAATAATATATTTAATCTATTTTTCTTTTTTGCCCCTTTTAAATATCGATCATTTGATGTGCTTTGCACCACTCTTTGTATTATGCTGCCTGATCTGTCTGGTTTTTTAGCTAGGTCCGCTAAATAATGTAATGGGGGCCGGTAGGCTACTTTCATTTTCACTGCTACAGACCCCCACCTCTGCTCGTGTTCAAACCAAGCTAAGATCAGGGGGGTTCAAACTGTAAGATCGGTTTTTCACATGGCAGGTTTTTACGTCCTTTATACATGTTGAGATTGAGTTTATCGACTTGATGAGGGAATATGTCTTGACAATCCACACAGACGTGACCTAGTAAAGCGTGAAGTCATGTAGGACTTTACTTGCTGCATTAGTCTGAATGTAAATCCTCTCGTCAGGCAGTGCTTAGCATGAGAGAGTGGACCACTGCATGTTTGATGCAAGAGTATTAACAAAAGAAAAATACACAACTGAAGACACTTGAGTGCTTGTATTTGTTGTATTTGCAGCAGCTCTGCGATGCATACTCACAACTTCATGCATTGGGTTAAATTAGGCTGTCCTGTCTCTGTGTTCAGTCCCTCACTACCATGATTGAAACCCAGACAGGCAGTCAAGCAGTTCTCACACCAGAAGCGCTGTGACGCACATGACAGTTTAAAGTATCACACACCAGGTGCGCACATTTGCATGATATTTAACATGAAACTAATCAGATGGCGCTCTGTGGCGCGGCTGAAATATGAACTGCGCGTCGCGTCGCGTCGCCTAGCAGCGCTTCTGGTGTGCGACCTGCTTCATACAGAGAGTGAACCAAAGTGCATTGGTGCAATTATAATGTATCTAATATTTTTATAAAAATCGCAATATCTCGATTTAATATAAAATAAAATCATCTTAAAACGTAAATTCGAATTAATCAAAAAAATCTAAAAAAATCGCCCGGCCCTAATTTATATATTAACAAATATTTTGTAGAGTTTGCATGTCATTGCATAGAGTTCAATATAAACTAATATAAAACTATTGCATACATCAAATTATATGCACGGTCATTAAAATGGAAGTAAAATACCAGTCATTACAAGTTGGTTTAAAAAAACTACATTTGTTTTGCTTTTTTCTGTTGAATAAAAATAAATTTTGCATTCATATATAAGCAAATATTTTGCTAATAATTTAAAATTACTTCTAAAATGACAAAATAGCTAAATATTGTGCAGGGTTTGTGTGTCCTTTTATTCATAGAATTCACTGCATATTGAGTTAAATAAAAGACTATTCCAGTCATGTTTCATCAGGAAGGATTTCTTTAAAATAGTATAAAAATCTCATCTCGTTCTCATGAACCTAATTTCTCGTCTTGTGGAGAAAGCATCATCGCACCCTATATATATATATATATATATATATATATATATATATATATATATATATATATATATATATATATATGTGTGTGTGTGTGTGTAGAGAGAGAGAAAGAGAGAAAGAGATACTCACTGGAATCCTATAACTTGCATATCAACGTATGTCTGGTTATATTTCTGTTTAAAGACTGGGTCAAGCTGTGGAAACATTTGAACATTGTCAGGTTCAACACAACATTCATGAGTTTTCATTTCAAACATTGAATAATTCACTTGTTTTTACATGATATGTAGCACGGTCCACATTTCAGTCAATATTATTGCTTTTGCACCATTTTGTATAGAAATGTAATGTAAATTCTTCTAAAACGTTATAGGATGTTTGTTTGACCACCCATGCCAACAGGAGAGCAACCAATTGTTGGATTTCTGTGATTAGTGTCTGTATCGCTTATAAAGAACTGCTTGCTAAAGCTAAAGCTAAAGTTATTTACGTGTCACTGTCTGCAGATTAGGCCAGGGTTTTTTGCTGCATAAAGAATTAACTGGTGGTTGCCTCCATTTATTGCTGAACCGCCTCCTCCAAAGATTAGGTAAGCATCAAGGTTATCAAGAGACCTCAACAGATAGATGAGCATTTTGCATATATTTTTATAGGCTGTATTGTAGTTTTATTTAAATGTGGTCTATGTTATTACTTCTGAAGTACTAAGCTTGCACAAGCAGCTTAAGAAGCAACAATGATTTCTACCGGATCAACATTTGTTGGTGACGATCAAGTGAAGGTAGTGGTGATACTACAGGCATTTTCGAAAGCAGAATTTGTAGAGAGTGATGTCTGTGATTCTCCACAGTGTGCAATTTGACTGTGGTACATTTACAAAGAGGGGAACTGGTATTGAACTTATTATGCAATGTGGGAGTAAGCTTCATTTTTATTTTAGAACCTCTGATTTAGCTGCCCATATGATAATGTAGTGATTTCCAAATATTGCTTTTTTGTATATTTATTATCTGTTTTTTTTTTGTCCTGTCTCTGTAATTCTGTTGCGCTGTAGAAGCTCTGTCACGAAAACAATTTCCTCGTATGTGCGAACATACCTGGCAATTAAGCCTTTTCTGATTCTGATTCATTTGTCTCAGATTTAACTTCATATTATTGTGTCAGATTCAGGTTTATTTAGTTTAATAAAACATTTCAGTAAATTATTGTTAAATCTATTTTTTTATTTTTACTGATATTTATTTTTACTGACATATTAGCCAGTCATGCATTTAGTTACATGTAATGTCTTTTTAAATAAAACAAAGTTTTACTTGATTTTAAAAAAATGTTTCAAGTAGCAAAAAAAAAAAATTCATGATCGGGAAAAACTCAGCATTAGACTTATGATGGATTTTGGAAACTGAAACTACCCTAAATACCACAACTAATAATAACAAATAGCAGCATAGTGCAGTGCAAAAACATCTGTTTCTTTTAAAATTATAATTTTACTGTTATGATTTGTGCTATAAATATTCGTCACACAACGTACCTCTTTGGTTTTCTTTACTCTGTCAATATATGCTGGTGAAGATGAATTATACAAGTCACTCGTGAAATTATCAGGGCTGGAAATCGTAAAATAAACTGTTGTCACTTCAATTATAATTGTAGGTGATTGTTCTGTTGTTGTTGTGTGTTCTGTTGTTGATGTTATAGGGGCAGTGGTTGTAGTTGATTGTTCTGTTGTAGATGTGTGTTCTGTTGTTGTTGTAACAGGCGCAGTGGTTGTAGTTGATTGTTCTGTTGTAGATGTGTGTTCTGTTGTTGATGTTATAGGGGCAGTGGTTGTAGTTGATGGTTCTGTTGTAGATGTGTGTTCAGTTGTTGTTGTAACAGGCGCAGTGGTTGTAGTTGATTGTTCTGTTGTAGATGTAGGTTCTGTTGTTGTTGTAACAGGCGCAGTGGTTGTAGTTGATTGTTCTGTTGTAGATGTGTGTTCTGTTGTTGTTGTAACAGGCGCAGTGGTTGTAGTTGATTGTTCTGTTGTTGATGTGTGTTCTGTTGTTGTTGTAACAGGTGCAGTGGTTGTAGTTGATGGTTCTGTTGTAGATGTGTGTTCAGTTGTTGTTGTAACAGGCGCAGTGGTTGTAGTTGATGGTTCTGTTGTAGATGTGTGTTCTGTTGTTGTTGTAACAGGCGCAGTGGTTGTAGTTGATTGTTCTGTTGTAGATGTAGGTTCTGTTGTTGTTGTAACAGGGGCAGTGGTTGTAGTTGATGGTTCTGTTGTAGATGTGTGTTCTGTTGTTGTTGTAACAGGCGCAGTGGTTGTAGTTAAGGGTTCTGTTGTTGATGTGTGTTCTTTTGTTGTTGTAACAGGCGCAGTGGTTGTAGTTGATGGTTCTGTTGTAGATGTGTGTTCTGTTGTTGATGTTATAGGGGCAGTGGTTGTAGTTGATGGTTCTGTTGTAGATGTGTGTTCTGTTGTTGTTGTAACAGGCGCAGTGGTTGTAGTTGATGGTTCTGTTGTAGATGTGTGTTCTGTTGTTGTTGTTACAGGGGCAGTGGTTGTAGTTGATGGTTCTGTTGTAGATGTGTGTTCTGTTGTTGTTGTTACAGGGGCAGTGGTTGTAGTTGATGGTTCTGTTGTAGATGTGTGTTCTGTTGTTGTTGTTACAGGGGCAGTGGTTGTAGTTGATGGTTCTGTTGTAGATGTGTGTTCTGTTGTTGTTGTTACAGGGGCAGTGGTTGTAGTTGATGGTTCTGTTGTAGATGTGTGTTCTGTTGTTGTTGTTACAGGGGCAGTGGTTGTAGTTGATGGTTCTGTTGTAGATGTGTGTTCTGTTGTTGTTGTTACAGGGGCAGTGGTTGTAGTTGATGGTTCTGTTGTAGATGTGTGTTCTGTTGTTGTTGTTACAGGGGCAGTGGTTGTAGTTGATGGTTCTGTTGTAGATGTGTGTTCTGTTGTTGTTGTTACAGGGGCAGTGGTTGTAGTTGATGGTTCTGTTGTAGATGTGTGTTCTGTTGTTGTTGTTACAGGGGCAGTGGTTGTAGTTGATGGTTCTGTTGTAGATGTGTGTTCTGTTGTTGTTGTAACAGGGGCAGTGGTTGTAGTTGATTGTTCTGTTGTAGATGTGTGTTCTGTTGTTGTTGTAACAGGCGCAGTGGTTGTAGTTGATTGTTCTGTTGTAGATGTAGGTTCTGTTGTTGTTGTAACAGGCGCAGTGGTTGTAGTTGATTGTTCTGTTGTAGATGTGTGTTCTGTTGTTGTTGTAACAGGCGCAGTGGTTGTAGTTGATTGTTCTGTTGTTGATGTGTGTTCTGTTGTTGTTGTAACAGGTGCAGTGGTTGTAGTTGATGGTTCTGTTGTAGATGTGTGTTCAGTTGTTGTTGTAACAGGCGCAGTGGTTGTAGTTGATTGTTCTGTTGTAGATGTAGGTTCTGTTGTTGTTGTAACAGGCGCAGTGGTTGTAGTTGATTGTTCTGTTGTAGATGTGTGTTCTGTTGTTGTTGTAACAGGCGCAGTGGTTGTAGTTGATTGTTCTGTTGTAGATGTGTGTTCTGTTGTTGTTGTAACAGGTGCAGTGGTTGTAGTTGATGGTTCTGTTGTAGATGTGTGTTCTGTTGTTGTTGTAACAGGCGCAGTGGTTGTAGTTGATGGTTCTGTTGTAGATGTGTGTTCTGTTGTTGTTGTAACAGGCGCAGTGGTTGTAGTTGATTGTTCTGTTGTAGATGTGTGTTCTGTTGTTGTTGTAACAGGGGCAGTGGTTGTAGTTGATTGTTCTGTTGTAGATGTGTGTTCTGTTGTTGTTGTAACAGGCGCAGTGGTTGTAGTTGATTGTTCTGTTGTAGATGTGTGTTCTGTTGTTGTTGTAACAGGCGCAGTGGTTGTAGTTGATGGTTCTGTTGTAGATGTGTGTTCTGTTGTTGTTGTAACAGGGGCAGTGGTTGTAGTTGATGGTTCTGTTGTAGATGTGTGTTCTGTTGTTGTTGTAACAGGCGCAGTGGTTGTAGTTGATGGTTCTGTTGTAGATGTGTGTTCTGTTGTTGTTGTAACAGGCGCAGTGGTTGTAGTTGATGGTTCTGTTGTAGATGTGTGTTCTGTTGTTGTTGTTGTATCAGGGGCTGTGGTTTTAGTTGATTGTTCTGTTGTAGATGTGTGTTCTGTTGTTGTTGTAACAGGGGCAGTGGTTGTAGTTGATGGTTCTGTTGTAGATGTGTGTTCTGTTGTTGTAACAGGCGCAGTTGTTGTAGTTGATGGTTCTGTTGTAGATGTGTGTTCTGTTGTTGTAACAGGGGCAGTGGTTGTAGTTGATGGTTCTGTTGTAGATGTTTGTTCTGTTGTTGTTGTAACAGGCGCAGTGGTTGTAGTTGATGGTTCTGTTGTAGATGTGTGTTCTGTTGTTGTTGTAACAGGGGCAGTGGTTATAGTTGATTGTTCTGTTGTAGATGTGTGTTCTGTTGTTGATGTTATAGGGGCAGTGGTTGTAGTTGATGGTTCTGTTGTAGATGTGTGTTCAGTTGTTGTTGTAACAGGCGCAGTGGTTGTAGTTGATGGTTCTGTTGTAGATGTGTGTTCTGTTGTTGTTGTAACAGGGGCAGTGGTTGTAGTTGATGGTTCTGTTGTAGATGTGTGTTCTGTTGTTGTTGTAACAGGCACAGTGGTTGTAGTTGATAGTTCTGTTGTAGATGTGTGTTCTGTTGTTGTTGTAACAGGCGCAGTGGTTGTAGTTAATGGTTCTGTTGAAGATGTGTGTTCTGTTGTTGTTGTAACAGGGGCAGTGGTTGTAGTTGATTGTTCTGTTGTAGATGTGTGTTCTGTTGTTGTTGTAACAGGCGCAGTGGTTGTAGTTGATGGTTCTGTTGTTACTGTATCAGGGGCAGCTGTAGTTGTCACTGTTGTGGTTGTAGTAGGTAAGGTAGTAATGTGGGAGAAACAGATCAGAAAACTGTTAATCTCCACTTATATGTCTTCAGTCTTTTAAAATCTGTTTAGGATGAAAGTTTAACTTACCTTGTACACTGCTGACATTAAAAGGAAGGTTTGCAGTAATAATAGCTTGGCCTATTAGTTCTGAGACTGAACTGTCATTACTGGTTGAATCGGCCACTGTTATATCTAAATCAGTGATGGTTGATCCACGACTATAAGGAAAACACACAGAGGAGAAAGAGTTATGGTCATTTTTTATGTAGCGCTCAATATAGAATATCTTGAGTATTAAACTACAACTTAAAAAAGATCTGGGTAGTTGCTTAAAACATCTCAATTACTGAGGTAAGTTATTTTGAGCATTTTCGTGAAGTTCTTCACATTTAAGTTTTTATTTTTTCAACATCATCATGTAATCTCAGACTCAAAGCAATAAATGTATATATAAAAAATAAATAGAAATACTCACCGGAATCCTTTAAGAATCATTCCAACGTATAAAGAGCCTAATCTTTCTTTAAAGGCTGGTTCAAGCTGTGGAAACATTTGAACATTGTCAGGTTCAACACAACACTCATGAGTTTTCATTTCAAACATTAAATAATTCACTTGTTTTTACATGATATGTAGCACTGTCCACATTTCAGTCAATATTATTGCTTTTGCACCATTTTGGATAGAAATGTAATGTAAATTCTTCTAAAACCTTAAAGGATGTTTGTTTGACCACCCATGCCAACAGGAGAGCAACCAATTGTTGGATTTCTGTGATTAGTGTCTGCATCGCTTATAAAGGACTGCTTGTTAGATTAGAGAGCAACATCAAGTAAAGATGAAGGTGATACTATAGGCTACCAAACTATCATCACATTTTGGAAAGCAGAACTCAGACAGTGACGTCCGTGATTCTCGGAGATGCATGATTTGACTGTGGTACGTATACAAAGAAGAGAGCGGTTATTGACCTTATTCTGCAATGCAGAAGTCAGCTTGTATTTGTTATTGTTTTAGAACCTCTGATTCTGTTGCCTATCCGCTTGTTAAGTGTGACATCACTCGAAGCGGCTTCCGAGTCTAATCGCCATATCAAACGATATGGGGAAGCTCATCAAATGGTAATATCGAACATTTACAAAGTTATGTAATACTTTTGAAAATCATGATTACAATATATTTCATCAATGCCTAAGATCTGAAGGGCAGAAAGTAATAAATTTTGTTCATAAATTGTTAAAATAAAGTCATGTACACCATGATTTTATATAACAATAATTTTAACGTGTGATATGACTTAAAAGTGGTCATGAATGAATATTTTTCATTCAAATGAGTTGCGGCTTGAACCTGGAAACAGTATTTTATACGTCAGAACTTTACAAGCAGATGGAATATATATCTTGGAATAAGAAAGGCAGAAAATGATCAGAAAATCTACTTGCTCTACAGACAAGTTTGTTTATGAGTATACATTCAAATACAACTACATGATTACAAAATACTAGTTTACAACGTTCAGCAGCATGACGTGCTGTTTTTTTACGACTCAAATAGTCAATAGAAGTACAATTTTTGTAAATGCAAATTTTTCCGGTATTTATATTATTATTTATTATGAAAACTTAATTGGTTCACTTTTGATGTTTGCTAATCTCACTACATTTTTGATGGATTTTTTTTTCTCCAAAACTTATACTATTTTTACATGACATTTCGTTTTAAATAACACTTCAGTATAATGAGTTAAAACAAATTGAGAGTTATTGAACAAAAAAGGGAGATTTTCCATCATTTTGTTTTATTTTGTCTACAAAAATAATACCAAACAAATCATCAGATATTTTTTTGTAGATGAGCTCAGTGGCTCATTGACGCACTCATTAAGACCTGTTGCCACCTACTGGTGGTTTTAGTTAATATTCATTAGTAATCACAGTGCTACACAGAAATGATTAAACACAGAGCATATAATAAGATAGTGAGCTCTATATCTGTCTGTCTCTGAATTAACTGAGTATTGTGTCAGATTCAGTTTTATTTTGAGACGCGGAAAACCCGGCATTAGACTTAGGGATAGTGCTGTGCAAAAAAAAAAAAAATCTGTTGTTTTAAACTGTAATTGTACTATCAAGATTTGTGCTATAAATGTTTGTCACTAAACATACCTGTTTGGTTTTCTTTTCTCTGTCGATGTATGCCGGTGAAGATGAATTTAACAAGTCACTCGTAAATTCATCAGGGCTGGAAAACGAAACATAAAATATTGATGTCTTTTCGCTGGTTGCTTGATTTGAGCTTGCAGTTGTTGTGATTGTTGTAGGTTGTGTACTAGTTAAGACTGTGGTTGTAGTTGTAGGCAAGAAAGTTGTTGTAAGAGCGGCAGTAGTTGTAGCTGTCTGTCTGGTTGTAGATGTGTGTTCTGTTGTTGTTGTATCAGGGGCAGTGGTTGTAGTTGATGGTTCTGTTGTAGATGTGTGTTCTGTTGTTGTAACAGGCGCTGATGTTGTAGTTGATTGTTCTGTGGTAGATGTGTGTTCTGTTGTTGTTGTAACAGGGGTAGTGGTTGTAGTTGGTGGTTCTGTTGTGGATGTGTGTTGTGTTGTTGTAACAGGCGCAGTGGTTGTAGTTGATTGTTCTGTTGTAGATGTGTGTTCTGTTGTTGTTGTAACAGGGGTAGTGGTTGTAGTTGGTGGTTCTGTTGTGGATGTGTGTTGTGTTGTTGTAACAGGCGCAGTGGTTGTAGTTGATTGTTCTGTTGTAGATGTGTGTTCTGTTGTTGTTGTAACAGGCGCAGTGGTTGTAGTTGATGGTTCTGTTGTGGATGTGTGTTCTGTTGTTGTTGTAACAGGCGCAGTGGTTGTAGTTGATGGTTCTGTTGTTGTTGTAACAGGGGCAGTGGTTGTAGTTGATGGTTCTGTTGTTGATGTGTGTTCTGTTGTTGTAACAGGCGCAGTGATTGTAGTTGATGGTTCTGTTGTAGATGTGTGTTCTGTTGTTGTTGTAACAGGCGCAGTGGTTGTAGTTGATGGTTCTGTTGTTGTTGTAACAGGGGCAGTGGTTGTAGTTGATGGTTCTGTTGTTGATGTGTGTTCTGTTGTTGTAACAGGCGCAGTGATTGTAGTTGATGGTTTTGTTGTAGATGTGTGTTCTGTTGTTGTTGTAACAGGGGCAGTGGTTGTAGTTGATGGTTCTGTTGTAGATGTGTGTTCTGTTGTTGTAACAGGGGTAGTGGTTGTAGTTGATTGTTCTGTTGTAGATGTGTGTTCTGTTGTTGTTGTTGTAACAGGCCCAGTGGTTGTAGTTGGTGGTTCTGTTGTGGATGTGTGTTCTGTCGTTGTTGTAACAGGCGCAGTGGTTGTAGTTGATTGTTCTGTTGTAGATGTGTGTTGTGTTGTTGTAACAGGCGCAGTGGTTGTAGTTGATGGTTCTGTTGTAGATGTGTGTTCTGTTGTTGTTGTAACAGGTGCAGTGGTTGTGGTTGATGGTTCTGTTGTAGATGTGTGTTCTGTTGTTGTTGTTTCAGGGGCAGTGGTTGTAGTTGATAGTTCTGTTGTAGATGTGTGTTCTGTTGTTGTTGTAACAGACGCAGTGGTTGTAGTTGATGGTTCTGTTGTAGATGTGTGTTCTGTTGTTGTTGTAACAGGCACAGTGGTTGTGGTTGATGGTTCTGTTGTAGATGTGTGTTCTGTTGTTGTTGTAATAGGCTTAGTGGTTGTAGTTGGTGGTTCTGTTGTGGATGTGTGTTCTGTTGTTGTAACAGGCGCAGTGGTTGTAGTTGATTGTTCTGTTGTAGATGTGTGTTCTGTTGTTGTTGTAACAGGCGCAGTGGTTGTGGTTGATGGTTCTGTTGTAGATGTGTGTTCTGTTGTTGTAACAGGGGTAGTGGTTGTAGTTGATTGTTCTGTTGTAGATGTGTGTTCTGTTGTTGTTGTTGTAACAGGCCCAGTGGTTGTAGTTGGTGGTTCTGTTGTGGATGTGTGTTCTGTCGTTGTTGTAACAGGCGCAGTGGTTGTAGTTGATGGTTCTGTTGTAGATGTGTGTTCTGTTGTTGTAACAGGCGCTGTGGTTGTAGTTGATGGTTCTGTTGTAGATGTGTGTTCTGTTGTTGTAACAGGAGTAGTAGTTGTAGTTGATGGTTCTGTTGTAGATGTGTGTTCTGTTGTTGTTGTTGTAACAGGCGCAGTGGTTGTAGTTGATAGTTCTGTTGTAGATGTGTGTTCTGTTGTTGTTGTAACAGGCGCAGTGGTTGTAGTTGATAGTTCTGTTGTAGATGTGTGTTCTGTTGTTGTTGTAACAGGCGCAGTGGTTGTAGTTGATGGTTCTGTTGTAGATGTGTGTTCTGTTGTTGTTGTAACAGGCGCAGTGGTTGTAGTTGATAGTTCTGTTGTAGATGTGTGTTCTGTTGTTGTTGTAACAGGCACAGTGGTTGTAGTTGATTGTTCTGTTGTAGATGTGTGTTCTGTTGTTGTTGTAACAGGCACAGTGGTTGTAGTTGATGGTTCTGTTGTAGATGTGTGTTCTGTTGTTGTTGTAACAGACGCAGTGGTTGTAGTTGATGGTTCTGTTGTAGATGTGTGTTCTGTTGTTGTAACAGGGGCAGTGGTTGTAGTTGATGGTTCTGTTGTAGATGTGTGTTCTGTTGTTGTTGTAACAGGGGCAGTGGTTGTAGTTGATTGTTCTGTTGTAGATGTGTGTTCTGTTGTTGTTTCAGGGGCAGTGGTTGTAGTTGATAGTTCTGTTGTAGATGTGTGTTCTGTTGTTGTTGTAACAGGCGCAGTGGTTGTAGTTGATTGTTCTGTTGTAGATGTGTGTTCTGTTGTTGTTGTATCAGATGCAGTGGTTGTAGTTGATTGTTCTGTTGTAGGTGTAAGTTCTGTTGTCACTGTTGTTGTGGTTGTAGCTGATTGTTCTGTTGTTACTGTATCAGGGGCAGCTGTAGTTGTCACTGTTGTTGTGGTTGTAGTAGGTAAGGTAGTAATGTGGAAGAAACAGATCAGAAAACTGTTAATCTCCACTCATATGTTACAGTCTTTCAAAATCTATTTAGGATGAAAGTTTAACTTACCTTGTACACTGGTGACATTAAAAGGAAGGTTTGCAGTAGTAATAGCTTGGTCTATTAGTTGTGAGACTGAACTTTCATTACTGGTTAAATTAGTCACTGTTACACTCAAATCAGTGATGGTTGATCCAGGACTAGAAGGAAAACACAGAGGAGAAAGAGTTATGGTCATTTATTTTGTTACTCTCAATACAGAATGTCTTGAGCATTAAAGTACAGGTTTAAAACGATCTGGACAGTTGCTTAAAATATCTCTGAGGTAAGTTGAGTTCTTCAAATACTTTAAACCTAAGCGTTCATTTCTTTAACATCATCATGTAGTCTCAGACTCACAACAATAAATATATGAAAGAAAGAAAATGTAAATCAATACTCACCGGAACCCATCAACATTCATTCCCAAGAATGAAGGGCCTAATCTTTCTTTAAAGGCTGGTTCAAGCTGTGGAAACATTTAAACATTGTCAGGTTCAACACAACACTCATGAGTTTTCATTTCAAACATTAAATAATCCACTTGTTTTTACATGATATGTAGCACTGTCCACATTTCAGTCAATATTATTGCTTTTGCACCATTTTGGATAGAAATGTAATGTAAATTCTTCTAAAACCTTAAAGGATGTTTGTTAGACCACCCATGCAAACAGGAGAGCAACCAATTGTTGGATTTCTGTGATTAGTTTCTGTATCGCTTATAAAGAACTGCTTGCCAGATTAAGGAGCAGCATCAAGTAAAAATAGAAAATGCAGAAAATGATCAGAAAAACTACTTGCTCTGCAAACAAGTGTGTTTATGACTATTCAAATAAAATATATTATCACAAAATACCAGTTTGGAACACCAGCAGCAATAAAAGTTTTTTTTAAGGCTAATAGTCAATGGTAGTAAATGAGACCAGAAGTCTTGAGCCAATAAGATTCACCCGCATGTACATGAAGTATAATTTCAATAGTTAGAGCTAAACACAAGATGCATGAGGAATGGACTGAGTCTTCATTCATAACTGATTCACATTCATTAAATATCTTTTTTTAAGGCTCATGGAGAACATCACTGTGTTGTTTAGCACATCTGCCTTAACCTAATCTGATGCTTTGTCATTCAGTCAGTGTTTCAACTGCGAGGTAAAACAGCTTGTAAACAGTCACAAAAGTCAAACCATGCATTTACAACAACAAAGCCATTCAATCATGTCCATAGACATGTTAGTCTACAAGAAAACCTTTTGGGGAAATGTGCAGTTAATTACATATTAAATCTTTTTAAAATTTGTTTATTATTTAAACTATGAATAATGTAATGATAACAGTGTATCTTATTACAGCCTTTGTTTACATGGTAAAAATGATCTCTAATATTGTTCATTTGTCTCAGATTAAACTTAATATTATTGTGTCAGATTCAGGTTTATTCAGTTTAATAAAACACTTCTGTAAATTATTGTTAAATCTGTTTTTTTGTCATCTTTACTGATATTTATCATCAACTGGATTACTAGGTTTAAACATATTAGCCAGTTGCGTATTTAATTACATGCAATGCCTTTTAAATAAATATTTAAAATTGTAATAAATAAAAATGCACAAAATGTTTCAAGTAGCAAAAAATTCATGAACAGGACACCATCTTCACCTCATTCTGAGCCAGGAGAAACCGAGCATTATACTTATGATGGACTTTGGAAACTAAAACACCCCTAAATATCAGGTCTAATGATTTAAAAATAGCAGCATAGTGCTGTGCAAAAAAATCAGTTTCTTTTAAAATTATAATTTTACTGTTATGATTTGTGCTATAAATATTCGTCACAAAACGTACCTGTTTGGTTTTCGTTACTCTGTCGATATATGCTGGTGAAGATGAATTATACAAGTCATTTGTAAATGGATCAGGGCTGGAAAACGAAACGTAAACTTTTGATGTGCTTTGTGTTGTTTCTTGATTTGTGCTTGCAGTTGTTGTGATTGTTGTAGGTATTGAACTAGTTAAGACTGTATTTGTAGTTGTGGGTAAATCTGTTGTAAGAGAGGCAGTAGTTGTAGCTGTTTGTTCTGTTGTATATGTGTGTTCTGTTGTTGTTTCTCCGGTTGTAGATGTGTGTTCCGTTGTTGTTGTAAGAGGAACAGTGGTTGTGGATGCTTGTTCTGTTGTAGATGTGTGTTCTGTTGTTGTTGTAACAGGGTCAGTAGTTGTAGATACATGTTCTGTTGTAGATGTGTGTTCTGTTGTTGTTGTAACAGGGTCAGTAGTTGTAGATGATTGTTCTGTTGTAGATGTGTGTTCTGTTGTTGTTTCTCCGGTTGTAGATGTAGGTTCTGTTGTTGTTGTAACAGGGTCAGTAGTTGTAGATGATTGTTCTGTTGTAGATGTGTGTTCTGTTGTTGTTTCTCCGGTTGTAGATGTAAGTTCTGTTGTTGTTGTAACAGGGTCAGTAGTTGTAAATACATGTTCTGTTGTAGATGTGTGTTCTGTTGTTGTTGTAACAGGGTCAGTAGTTGTAGATGATTGTTCTGTTGTAGATGATTGTTCTGTTGTTGTTGTTTCTCCGGTTGTAGATGTGTGTTGTGTTGTTGTTGTAAGAAGGTCAGTAGTTGTAGATGATTGTTCTGTTGTTGTTGTTTCTCCGGTTGTAGATGTGTGTTCTGTTGTTGTTGTAAGAGGGTCAGTAGTTGTAGATGATTGTTCTGTTGTTGTTGTTTCTCCGGTTGTAGATGTGTGTTCCGTTGTTGTTGTAAGAGGAACAGTGGTTGTGGATGCTTGTTCTGTTGTAGATGTGTGTTCTGTTGTTGTTGTAACAGGGTCAGTAGTTGTAGATGTGTGTTCTGTTGTTGTTTCACCGGTTGTAGATGTGTGTTCTGTTGTTGTTGTAACAGGGTCAGTAGTTGTAGATGATTGTTCTGTTGTAGATGTGTGTTCTGTTGTTGTTGTTTCTCCGGTTGTAGATGTAAGTTCTGTTGTTGTTGTAACAGGGTCAGTAGTTGTAAATACATGTTCTGTTGTAGATGTGTGTTCTGTTGTTGTTGTAAGAGGGTCAGTAGTTGTAGATGATTGTTCTGTTGTTGTTGTTTCTCCGGTTGTAGATGTGTGTTCTGTTGTTGTTGTAAGAGGGTCAGTAGTTGTAGATGATTGTTCTGTTGTTGTTGTTTCTCCAGTTGTAGATGTGTGTTCTGATGTTGTTGTAACAGAGTCAGTAGTTGTAGATGATTGTTCTGTTGTAGATGTTTCTCCAGTTGTAGATGTGTGTTCTGATGTTGTTGTAACTGAGTCAGTAGTTGTAGATGATTGTTCTGTTGTTGTTGTTTCTCCGGTTGTAGATGTGTGTTCTGTTGTTGTTGTAAGAGGGTCAGTAGTTGTAGATGATTGTTCTGTTGTAGATGTTTCTCCGGTTGTAGATGTAAGTTCTGTTGTTGTTGTAACTGAGTCAGTAGTTGTAGATGATTGTTCTGTTGTAGATGTGTGTTCTGTTGTTGTTGTTTCTCCGGTTGTAGATGTAGGTTCTGTTGTTGTTGTAACAGAGTCAGTAGTTGTAGATGATTGTTCTGTTGTAGATGTTTCTCCGGTTGTAGATGTGTGTTCTGTTGTTGTTGTAAGAGGGTCAGTAGTTGTAGATGATTGTTCTGTTGTAGATGTGTGTTCTGTTGTTGTTGTTTCTCCGGTTGTAGATGTAGGTTCTGTTGTTGTTGTAACAGAGTCAGTAGTTGTAGATGATTGTTCTGTTGTAGATGTTTCTCCGGTTGTAGATGTGTGTTCTGTTGTTGTTGTAACAGAGTCAGTAGTTGTAGATGATTGTTCTGTTGTTGTTGTTTCTCCGGTTGTAGATGTGTGTTCTGTTGTTGTTGTAACAGGGTCGTTAGTTGTAGATGATTGTTCTGTTGTTGTTGTTTCTCCGGTTGTAGATGTGTGTTCTGTTGTTGTTGTAAGAGGGTCAGTAGTTGTAGATGATTGTTCTGTTGTAGATGTGTGTTCTGTTGTTGTTGTTTCTCCGGTTGTAGATGTAGGATCTGATGTTGTTGTAACTGAGTCAGTAGTTGTAGATGATTGTTCTGTTGTAGATGTTTCTCCGGTTGTAGATGTAAGTTCTGATGTTGTTGTAACTGAGTCAGTAGTTGTAGATGATTGTTCTGTTGTAGATGTGTGATCTGTTGTTGTTGTAACAGGGTCGTTAGTTGTAGATGATTGTTCTGTTGTTGTTGTTTCTCCGGTTGTAGATGTGTGTTCTGTTGTTGTTGTAAGAGGGTCAGTAGTTGTAGATGATTGTTCTGTTGTAGATGTGTGTTCTGTTGTTGTTGTAACTGAGTCAGTAGTTGTAGATGATTGTTCTGTTGTAGATGTGTGTTCTGTTGTTGTTGTTTCTCCGGTTGTAGATGTAGGTTCTGTTGTTGTTGTAACAGAGTCAGTAGTTGTAGATGATTGTTCTGTTGTAGATGTTTCTCCGGTTGTAGATGTGTGTTCTGTTGTTGTTGTAAGAGGGTCAGTAGTTGTAGATGATTGTTCTGTTGTAGATGTGTGTTCTGTTGTTGTTGTTTCTCCGGTTGTAGATGTAGGTTCTGTTGTTGTTGTAACAGAGTCAGTAGTTGTAGATGATTGTTCTGTTGTAGATGTTTCTCCGGTTGTAGATGTGTGTTCTGTTGTTGTTGTAACAGGGTCAGTAGTTGTAGATGATTGTTCTGTTGTAGATGTTTCTCCGGTTGTAGATGTAGGTTCTGTTGTTGTTGTAACAGAGTCAGTAGTTGTAGATGATTGTTCTGTTGTAGATGTTTCTCCGGTTGTAGATGTGTGTTCTGTTGTTGTAACAGGGTCAGTAGTTGTAGATGATTGTTCTGTTGGAGATGTTTCTCCGGTTGTAGATGTAGGTTCTGTTGTTGTATTATTATCAATTGTTGTTTGTCCAGTTATAGATGTAATTGTGAATGCTGTCATTTAAAAAAAATCAAAGCAATGTACATTACAGATAAATTTTCATATTCAAAATGTAATACAAAAGTTAAGATATTTCAGAGTAACTCACCTAAACTTAACACCACAATAATCAGTGTCTTTTTTCTCATCTTTGAATCTGTCAAGTAGATCCCCTAAAAACATGAATTGCATAACATTTAAAAAATAAATGAGAGAATTTGTCCAAAGAACTTAAATAGACCTTAAGTTTTGGAAGCTGACTGCACAGAAATGTTGTGTAGGTATAGTTTGTACACACAATATTGGAGAGATTTGAACCCAGCAAGTTTCTCTCTCTTTTTTTTTTAATTTCCAGACATTAAAATATATTCCAAATCCCAGCAATTTTGAGGCACACACTAGAATTTAAAGCACATTGACAACAGTGTTTTATAGAGGTGTAAAAAGTACCTGAAAACTATACTTAAGTAAAAGTAAAAAATTACTCCATTACAAGTTACAAGTAACCAATTCCAATAAGACATGAGTAAAAGTAATAAAGTATTGGATTTTAAAAGAACTTGAGTATTTTACTCATACTGAATGTAGACTCAAAGAACACCAAGAAATGTTTTATTTCCTAATATAGAAATTAAATTGAACACCTCAATGTTTCAAAATGACAGAACAAAATAGATTTAAAAAAAGAACAAAGTCTCAGTCAAACTTAACTGTTCAAAAAAGACACAAACAATTATTCAAAAATAAAAAAAGTAGAAACACGTAGTAAAAAAAACTCAGAGCTGACTTTCATGTGATTCATCTCTCAGTCTCAGAAGTGGAAATACTTTTATTTTGAGTAGTTTTTCAATTGATTAGGATGTTTTCTCTGTAGTAAAATTAAACAAAGAGGAGCAGTGTTATTTTTCAACTTGGTAAACTACAAATAAATTAAATGAAAAATACATCACAATCTCACAGCTAAATGCACCTGATGCACAACGTATTATTTCAGTGGTTCATTTATTCACGTTGCACCAAAAAAAATTAAGCTAAAACAGTCATGTCATGTCGCAGTGGTTTTTAAATAGACTCTTACTTCAATTTGTTTTCTCAAATTTGACGATAAATTCTTAAAAGCACTTATTTTTGTGGTTCATGGCAACAAAGTAGACACTGCATCCTGTAAGAGACATTCTGTATATCGGCAAATGAAAACTTTTCTTTCAGATAAGGCCATGGATGGTCATCAGTGCTGGCACTACTTGATGTGCCGACTTCGGCTTCATCATTGGCTGCAGCCATGTTGCTAATTAAACACCTGGTATTTGGCAAGCTGTTCATTCACGTTCACATGATTTAGCTTATAAATAGCATACAGGACCTTCAGCACCCTGCAGATGGCGATATCGCCTTGTCCGCCTAAGTAATTAGCCGTGGTAGAAAGATGCCAACTTGTTGTGCACAATCACAATGTAACGAGTAACAATAAGCGTTTGTTCAAATGTAGTGGAATAAAGAGTAAATATATTCAATCAAAAATATAGTCAAGTAGAGAGTAAAAGTTGCTTAAATTTTTAATACTCAGTACAAGTACAAAGTAGCCAAAAAATACTTGAGTAACGAAGTCCATTTGCTCAAGTACTTTACACCACTGGTCTTTTATAAGCACCACGGTACCGCATGCTGTGAGTTGGTTTGAACAACATTGTATAGTATTTGTTATGAAATAAAACATTTCACCAAAAGAGAAAGGTTATTTCCTGATGTGTCAGCTGTTGCTGGGCTCATAGCATACCCGTGTAGTTGCACACAACTATTTTATAACTTCATTATAAAGAAAGAGCAAAATAAATGACCAGATTAGCAGCTTGTGACATATTTTAAACAACTGTGGTGGCTCAAATTTTGTTATTATTTAATTTTATTGTTATTATTTAATTAATATAATTAAGTTTTATTAACAAAAACTTGTTCAGGGACTGCAATGCAATGTTTATTTAGCATTTATAGTAATAAATAGTTCTCTCCATCCATCCAAATGCCTTAAGAAACCATATCATTCAACCACCAGGTAACACTAGTGTACACGACTATAAACAAGGACACTTCAGTCACACGAGTCCCAGTGTGTGGCTGTTAAATCCGCTTTATTTCGTAATGTATCTTAGCAATAATCAGACCCCCTAGTTTTTTGGGATTCTGCGATTGCTGAATCCAACGCAAAAACAAGAAAACGTTGAATTTTTTTCGATCGTGTTATAGTTTTATGAATTTTTTATCGACGTGTGCAGCGCACATGATTTATTTCAGTGTCTCTCACCTGCGCCCACACAATCATGACATTACATGAGAGCAGGGGAGTTGTTGTGTAGCCTGTGCAGTAAGCAGACGTGGATGAAGCATGAGTGATCTACATGGGAAGTCAATGGAAGGATTGGATTGGACATCCTGTGGTGTGAATTGAACGTTTTGTGCGTTTGACATGCTTCAGACTGCAAAAGAAAGCTGGAGCGAACATCTAAACAAATGGAGCAGACAGAAAAGCAAGCAGCGTACAATGATGGAGATTGACTTACAGATGACGACCGCTCAACGTGACCAAATTAAAGGACATTATTTGTGCTTTACATTTATGGCTGTTATTATGGTGTTCGTCAAATGGATAAATATTTTTGCTTAACTCTTTTCCTATAGTTAACAAGAGCGAATGCTTCCCTGCCATTGACGAGTTTTACAGCAAGCCGTGTTTCAGGTGTATTACGGTAGGGGAAGCCCTAACGCATGTCCTGAGTGAGGTACATGTTGTCAGATTCTCAGGGAGTGAATTCTGAGAGAAACTAAGATTGTGGATATACAAAAAGTTATACGCCCTTCCTTTGGTGAATTTTTGTATAATTTTGGATCTTTTTTAGATCTTGTCTTCATAGGAGAACAAAATAAAGAAGCTTTTTTATGATTTGTGTTATTGTGTCAGATAGCACACCTAACACAATAGGCTACCTAATATGGTAAATTATATATATATATATTTTTTTTTTTTTTCCCCGCAAAATTGTCCAAAAATTTCTGCCAATTACCACCACAAAAACAGTCATTTTTATCGCAAAAAAACACAAAAACAATAAAATTTTTTTTGCAAAACTAGGGGGTCTGTATAATAATCTTTGTACAACAGCATATTTACAAGTAGATGAGCAAAAACAGCGCAACATGTTAAAAACACAAGTGTTTGTTTTGTTTTTGCGGACATTGTAATGGCATTTGTGACCCTGATTATCTTTCTCTGAAGCCAAATGATTTTAATTTGCATTTACTGTAAAATCACATGCACAAAATCAGCTGCAATTTCCTCCTACACCAAAATGGACATTTTCAACAGGCTATAATAAATGATCTGATACATATTTTGACCTGAAACTTCACAGACACATTCTGGAGACACCAAAGGCTTATTGTAAATCTCATAAAAAGGCCAGAATTGGAGCCCTATAATTTATCCACACCCTCCTCCACACTCTCACTGAAGTCACTGCGTTTTCATTGCACATCTCACCTAAACATCTCACCTAAGTGTTGGACAATAATAGAAGACTTAATAGAAATAGCATAATACCTAACACGGGAGTTGATACACCCATAAAAGCATTAGTTTTGTATCTATCCATTTTCTAATAGGCTTATTTGTTGCACGAAAAAATGTTTCTTAATGATAGCAATGTTAACACTATACTATTTTCATCATTTCTGACAAAATTCTAACATTTTTTTTTACACATTTCTGTGCTTTCCTGTGGAATGTTGTAACTGTCACCAGCAACCTAGGGACTGTAGATCACTGGTAAACTACACACACACACACACACACACACACACACACCACACACACACACACACACACACACACCACGTGAACTACCACTAACAGAATGCATTACATCAATCAACTCCCGCTTCAGCTGACACTCTCTCTCACACATATCGTATTGCTCCTATGATGTCCGTGTGTTGGTTTGCTCTGTCTTGTTTTACTTTTGTCTTGTTTTGTTATAGTTTTGTTGCTGCATTTGGATCTGCTCTTTGTTTTTTGTCTTCTCTGAACTTTACACCGCATGGTAACAAATATAAACACATTTATTTGTTGAATGGCAAGGTTTAGAGCTGACATCAAAAATGATTCAGTAAATGATTCAATGACAAATCCAAATTTTCCTTCATCAAACTTATTTTCGCTGTTCTTTATGTCGTCTTTATAGCTTCTAATTAAGCTAATTATTGTAGATTATAGTGTTTAATTTTAAACAGAAATTTGAATGACTGAATTCTGAACTTTACTACAGTTATCTACCTACTTTAATGGCTGTTGAATTATTCTTCAGTTTGCATGATCTACATTACAAACCACAAACAAATAGACAATATGACACAATACAGTATTTATTTATAAAGCACATTTAAAAACAACCAAGGTTGACTAAAGTGCTGTACTAAAGACAGAAGCAGAATATAAAGGAAACAACCACTTAAACGGTGATCAAGGAGTATTATAAGTGGGAGAAATTAGATATGTCTTCAAAACAGACTTAAACACATTAAATCGACGGAGCAAGTCTAATGTGAATTGGTAGAATGTTCCAGAGTTTAGGAGCCGCGAATGATTGATCACCTTGTTTTTTAAGGTGTGTTCTGGACACGGTGAGTAAATTAAGATTATAAGATCTCAATGATGGAGAGGGGGGATACGGACAGAGCATAATAAAGTTGTAAAACCAGTTCGTATTTAATGTGTAGCCAGTGAAGTGCAGCTAAAATCAGAGTTACCGACTCAAAGTTGCAGGTATCAGAGAGTAGTCTAGCAGACACATTGTGTACCAGCTGCAGACGAGAGAGAGAAGACTGAGAGATGCCCAAACAGAGAGAGTCACAGTAATCCAGACGTGTTGTTATGAAGGCATGAATCCCCGTTTGAACATTTCTCTGGGATGAAAATGGCTTGACTTTAGCCAGTTGTCTGAGGTGGTAAAAGCAGGATTTCACCACAGTACTGATCTGTTTGTCAAGTTTTCATCAAATACAACACCGATGATTTCCTGCCCACTGGGTAATATGTGGAGCCAAACATCTTACATGGACATTTAACAGAGAATTTTCTTTGCGCCCAAATATAATCACTTCAGTTGTATTTTCATTTAAATAAAAATAAAAAAAGCTTGAGAGACAAAGTTTAAGCTCCTCTTAAGTTAGCCAGGAGTGGTTTTAAGCCATTTACGTCTTTTTGTTTTAGTCATCCGCATATAGATGGAGGGAAATGTTATATTTATTGCAAATGGAAGCCAGGAGAGCATATACAGGGTAACCAATACAGGCCCAAGGATTGATCCCTGAGGAACTCCACAGCTGAGAGGAATACTGGATGAGGATTGATGGCCAATGCCACACTAAAACATCTATTGGTCAGATGAGAACAGAACTACTCTAAAACTGTCACGTTGCTGTCTCTAGACATGTCAACAGAACCTTGTGGTCAATCAGGTCAAAAGCAGAACTTTAATAATGCCATAGATTTCAATATGTTATTGTATGTTTGTCTTGTTTTCCAGTCAACTAATCACTCTAAAATGCTTTACTCGTATGTATTAGCTCTTTTGTTTTGGAAAAATCTAAATTAAGCATTAAATTTAGCATAAAATGATTTTAAAAAACAGCTTTGATTGTCAAAAATATCTATAAATCAGCAGTTTTCCATATATTCTTATTTTATTTCTGCGTTTCAACTGCATTTTGGCACCTTAATCTTTCTTCCAACAACTTTTTGGACTATTAAAACCGTGTAACAGTCATGAAGTTGTAAAAAAAAAAGATTTTATGAGCATTTATAATAGTTAAAAGTGCTGTATTGTCTGCTTTGTGTATCATATTACAACCTTGCTACATTTTCAGACTTCATTCTCTAGATATTAGTTATTATATATTATATAAAATTTCCAATATATTGATAAAAGTCACTTTGTTAAACTGTAGAGTTGAATTTACAACATCAAAAGTGGACAGAGCAGAGATCAACATCCCATAATGCAATTCACAACCACAAAATATGGAAATAACAGATATTTTTATAGCGTGTATATAGTGAGAAACATAAAAAGTAAAGGTGAAGGCAAGATTAATTTTCTAAATATACATACACAAATGAATAGTTTGTTCCAGTGCATGTGCTCTGCTAAATTATAACTTTAATGTGATTCACAAAAACCTTAAAAAGTTAATAAAGACTGAAGAAAAGCCTCTGTGCAGTTTTGAAAGACCGAGTAATGCTGAAGTCAGACTCACCCAATCCATCGCTCATCTGTAATGTCATACACCCAGGATAAACCCCTTGATAAATGTTGGTAAAATCAGTGTCTCTTCAAAGGCTTCGGTGCTTTTATTAGCTCTGTTTGCTGTCAGCTGACGTAAAGCACATAGTTATCACTTGGTGCATTGTTAATGCATTCCTCTTTTACCAAACTGGATATACGTACTTATACAACAATGCATTCCAGCACTGCTGTGAAAACAGGTTGTTGAAAAAGTGTCTAATTTTACTCAGATGATCATAAAATTATATCATAGGCTACCTTATGGCATCTACAGAAAGTGTTAATGTTATATTTGCTGTATATTAAGTTGAAATCATCATTTCATCTATTATCTCTTACATGATTGATTTCTTTTCAAACGTGTCTGCATTTATTTCTACAGGCGTTCACATTCTTACAGACAAAAAAAACAATTAAAGACAAAACAAAGGCACTATAGAGAGTTTAGGATGACATTGAGGAGAGCTTTGAAAAGAGGGAACACAAAGAACAAGAGGACAATCAAGATAAGCAGAAATTCAGATCACTGAATCTGTCTTAACTCAAGAAATCAGAAAAATAGCTGGTGTGTATGTGAGGACTTTCATTTGAAATATTATCCAGCCATCCTTTCCTATCATGTGAGTTCTTGTCCAGCACTGCAAACACAAGCTTTCCTAATGACTTGTTTCAAGCTAAAATATGTAAAAATACTTTAATGAAGAAGCATTTTCTAGACAAGCAGAACATATGGTGTTGTTTTCAGATATCATATGCCAAAACTAAGTGAGTTTTTTCCTAGATCAAGCAAAGTAATCTGCCAGTGGAGTAAGTGAAGTGATCTTGTTTTTCATTTTGACGTCAGATCATTTCTCTTACGCTATTGGCAGATTATTTTGCTTGTTTTAATGAAAAACTCACCTAATTTTGGCTTGCCTAGAAAATGATTTTCAATTTAAGAGTTTTTAGATATTTAGACTAGAAACAAGACCAAAAAATCTACTTAAGAGAAGCATTTTTACAATGAGAAGTCAAGTTTTAATTATACCAGGTGGTTTTTCTGGTTTTATTTGAACTTCACAGTCTATTACCTGACCTGATTTGTGAGTTGTGTGCATAACCTTCTGTCTATCTACGTAAGGAATGCAGTCAGTCCCAAATGTGCTTTATTTTTAAATAAAATAGATATGATATATTCATTTTAGTGATTTAGCAGCTAAACCAAACCCTTACTGAAATTCTGTTTGACACAATGTGTTCCTCACAATGTATTAAATTACACCAAGTTTAAAGTCGAGTCACATTCTTTCAGAGAGATCGCAGATATCAACAGACAAAAATAGCCCTATCAGTAATAGCATGAAGCTTCGCCAGTTTTTAATAAGAGATTCGTTAAATTAATGTATTTGCGTTATATTAATGAACAAGATTACAAAATTAGTAGCTTTTAATCTGCATAAAGATTATGCCCAGAAGATGATGGCAAATTTCACAAAGTCTACTGCTGTTTTAAAAGGAAATGTTATTATATTACAGTTTACAGTCTCTGACACTGCAAAAATGCCTCTCTTATTTGAGTTTTTGTCTTGTTTCTAGTTCAAATATCTAAAAATTCTTTAATTGAAAAGCATTTTCTAGACAAGCACAAAATATTGTGAAGTTTTCAGAGGTAACGAGTCAAAATTGAAGTGTTTTTCCTTAAAAAAAAAAAAAAAAAAAAGCGAATTATTCTGACAATGGGCTAAAGCTGGCAGCTAGCTCTCTGCAACTCAAATGGTCACCCACTGAAGTTAAACAGGGCTGTGTCTGGTCAGTATCTGGATGGGAGACCACATGGGAACACTAGGTTGCTGCTGTAAGTGGCGCTCAATCTGCGGTCTGTGTGGGTCCTAATGCCCCAGTATAGTGAAGGGGACTCTATACTGCTCAGTGAGCGCCGTCTTTCAGATGAGACGTTAAACCGAGGTCCTGACTTTTTCATGTCTGCGATTTAATAAATTTAAATATCTGCACATAATGCCTCTCTGATAAGGTGCGATGTGTTCATTTTGTTCGCTTTGTTTAAAATTAAATTTAACAAATCATTAAACACAGAATCCATGAAGAAAATCAGTTGTTCTAATCATTATGTTTTGATTTGATTTATTTTATATGACTCTTGTTAAAACATTTAACTCTTAAAAAAGCTCCATCTAAATCATATTCATCCTTGTCTGTTTAATGGGTAATAATAAAATAGTATTGGGCAATAATAAAAAGTTAGTGTTTTCCCATGTATCAGATGAGATGTTAAATCGAGGTCTCGACTCTCTGTGGTCGTTAAAAATCCCAGGGTGTCTTTCAAAAAAGAGTAGGGGTTTAACCCCGGCATCCGGGCCAAATCAGCCTCTGTCCATCATGGCCTCCTAAAGCCTGGTTTGTACTCTGTGCACGCAGCGAATGTGACACCATCGCTGTGTTTGCCGAGGTTCACTGTGGGTGCACGTGACATGGTTTCGGCTGGCGGAGCGCATGATTTGTTTTTTTTGTTTTTTGAGACTCGAGCAAAGAGTTCGCACAGCTCCGCGTTTGATTTGAGTTGAATATGAAACACTGTGAAGAGATGTTGTCTTGAACGGGTAAGCCTGTACAGACACTTATATGATCCGTGATGATCATATATGATCCGGGGGGATGGGGGCATCGCTGGGGCACTTCTGATCATTAGGGAAGGGCACTTTCTATCCAAGACTAAAAAGGGCATGTGCACTGCACAGGTTGAGCCCTATGTGTGCACGTGCCTGTCCTAGAGAGAACCAGATGATCAATCATTTTTGGCTAGAAATTGCTACAGCCGTGGGAAAGGAGGGAAGTTTTTGTTAAAAGGTTTGGAAAAACTTGAGGGATGAGTTTGTTCAAGCCAAAAGAGGCCATGGCAATAGTGGAGAACCAGTACACAAATACAGAAATATGTGTTTCCACCAGTTATAGGTTTTACACTGATGTAAACATTAGAGTTTAGAATTTAAAACAGTTTAAAAGTTATAAAACTATAATTAAGGAACAAATCATTTATTTGATATCTGGGAAAGGAATATTTGAGTCTATCAGTTTACAATATACTGATGTCTGTTCCTCTAGGCTTTATTGGTCAGGAATGTTGATCATTACTGCCTTTTTAGCATAAGTAGAGGGCAGAAACTAGCCAGACAGTAATGTGTGGAGCGAGCTAGAACTAAGAAAACATCAGTATATTTTAGTGAGTGTACTTTTTTGCTTTTCGTACTTGCAATAAAACCAAATATATTTGTAGAGTAACTCATGTTCTGTTGTCAATAATATTTAACTTCAATAGGTAGAACTGTCCGAGATACAAACAGAGGCAAGTGATGCATCAAAGTTTGAATTAAAAAAATCGTGAATGGTTAAAAAGTCTTTATAATCATTAAAATAATTAATAAAAAGTAATCAGTTTTAAATTATTAAATGATATTAATGTTATGATCTAGTTCCGGAAACGTTCTACTTCTCTGTTTGCATGTCTTTACGGTCAATTTCTTTTTACGCCCCCTGTCGTATTAAAAAATAAACCTGCTGGTGTGCGGTCCGGTGCAATATGGCTGCTGTCGCCTCATCTGTGGATGCTGCACACTGGTGCTAGATGAGGGGATTCCCTCCAAACATGTGTACAGCACTTTAAGTGTCCAGAAAAATAATATATAAATGTTAGAAATTATTATTATTATTATTATTATAAACACAATAATCTTGTGTCAAAAGGAAAAACAAGATTATTTCTTTCCCCATTGGCAGATTATTTTGCTTGTTTTAAGGAAAAGCTCACTTCGTTTTCACTCAGTATTTCTAAAAACAAAACTTTGTTTTACTTCTTGATTTAATAATTGTGAGATATTCGGACAAGAGAAAAAATCTAAGTAAGAGAAGCATTTTTGCAGTGTACACATGCTTGAAAGTACAGATACAGACAAATAAAGAAGTATGTATAGTTTTTGTTTTACATACTTTCTATGTTCACACGTGTTTTAAAGCAGTTTACAGTCTTTACAGTTTTGTACATAAACACTCCTGAGTTTTACAGTCTGTGGTGCTCATTTTCTGTTCAAACAGCTTCATGCAGTGGTGTGTTAGCAACAGCAAGGTTGTTGAGAAAGCAAGAACTGAAATAAACGGTCAGGGAAAGCATCAACAGAAATATAACGGCCACAAAAATCAATGTAATATACAATATTTATACCTGTGATCCAAACGGTATCATATTTATTGTCAAACTGAAAGTGCTTCATACAGTATCAAACCAGTTCTTCCACTGTTTTCCCAGCGTCTTTGTTTATTTGTTGAGCCATTTTGAGTGCCTTGTCATATGATCTGTTTGACGCTCAAATACCCTGCATAGTTTGTTAAGTAACCACAAAACACTTGATCTATTTTAATTAGCAGGAAGTTTCTGTTCTCTTCATCAGTATGACGGCTTCATGGTTTTGACAGCGTGCTCATGATTGTGACTTGATGCATGAGCGGGTAATTAAAGGCCAGGGTTTTAAACACGGGCACTTTCCTTGTGTTTAGCAGAAAGATGATGCTTTCTCTTTCACACTTATCAGCGATTCCTTCTCTGATGGTGTCAGTAGATAATGGCGAGTTTGTCAGATCTGCAGGTATTGAGGGTGTGCTGTTTAAGCAGCTGTCGGTGGAGTCTGAGTCGTTCTTCTGGCTGGGTTCATGAGCTGATGGGTCAGTCACTGGATTAGGAGACGATATCAAGTCTTCATGTGTGGATGCGACAGGAGAAAATGCATTAGAGATGGTGTCTGCATTAGATATTTGCTTCCCCTGATTGGTGGAGTTTGAGGTCACCGCCTGGTTTGACTGTAAAAACAGTACAGAAAAAAGTTACATGAAAATGAGATATTTTTATGAAGAATATCTAGCTATAATGCTGGATTTGCATAAATCTTTCCAGCTGACCCTTTTAGGCTTTGATCTTTGGAGCTACAAATGCCTATGTGTCAGCATAGTGGCAGATTCTAAAACAAAACTACTGTCCTATGCTAATGAGGGAGAGATGGTCACTAGTGGGCGGGGCTTTCCCCCTCTGAGGACAAGTTCAAAGGGAGAATGTCAATCAAAGTGTTTCTGCAGACAAGTCTGAGTAAAAAAATGACAATAATAATTTTTACAATGAGAAGCTGGCTGTATTCACACACTGCAGACACACAACTAACCCATTTATTAGAGCTATATTTGCATAATTGGTCCCCTTTAGGTATTCAGGTGAGGAAATACATACAAAGTTAATGCAGATGTGGGAATAAGAGCTCAATAATACATCAAGATCAAATCACTTGTGCGATTTAGCAAAGTCTGTGCCAATAATCACTAACTACAGTTGGAAAATACAACACGCATTACTGTGAACTTTAAAAATAAACTAATTGTTAATGTGGATTGCTTTCACAGTTCCTTTATTTTTGATGTAACCTATTAATAGTGATGCTGACATACAGTTTAAGTCAGAATTATTAACCCCCTATTTTATTTCTTGTTTTAATATTTCCCAAATCATGTTTAACAGAGCAAGAAAATGTTCACAGTATGTCTGAAAATGTTTTTTCTTCTGGGGAAAGTCTTATTTGTTTTATTTCGGCTAGAATAAAAGCAGTTTTTAATTTTTTAAACACCATTTTAAGGACAATATTATTAGCCCCTTTAAGCTCATTTTTTTCCCGACTGTCTACAGAACAAACCATCATTATACAATAACTTGCCTAATTACCCTAACCTGCCTAGTTAACCTAATTACCCTAGTGAAGCCTTTAAATGTGACTTTAAGCTGTATAGAAGTGTCTTGAAGAATATCTAGACTAATATTATGTGCTGTCATCATGACAAAGAGAAAATAAATCAGTGATTAGAGATGAGTTATTAACACTATTATGATTAAAAATGTGATGGAGAAATCTGCTCTCTGTTACACAGAAATTGGGGGAAAAAATAAACAGGGGAGCAAATAATTCTGACTTCATCTGTAGATAATTGGGTATTGATTAAGTAATAGATCATCGCCGGTTATTACGTACTGACGTCATTTATCTCATGTGCTATATCGCAGTAGAATACTATTGGAACGAGGCGAGGGCGAGTGTAAAATGCGAGAGTAAAATGCTTCGACTACTTAAAAAGCAGACAACTATTCACAATTCACTGCATGTAGCACGGCCCGGCCCGATAAAAACCCTGGCCCGACAGTGGAAGTGTGGAAGGTCATAGGGACGTAACTTGCACAACATCACTCAGAAAGCAAGAGGAATTATATTTACATTAGTTTATTTTCTGTAAATGCTCGTGTTGTTCTGTGCCTGTCCTCGAGTTTTGTTTAAAACAATCAAAAAGAGTGTTTACTTTGAGCAGGTAAAATTAAAGGCACAGTTCATATATCTGACTGCTTGTATTAAAGGACAACATTGTGTTACAAATAATATACTGTACAAATATGAATATATTGAATTGAATGAATTGCCATTAGACATTACATGCTTTGCAACAAGAAAAATGAGGTTTAGAAAATCATTTAAGAAATATTTCATGTCTTTGTTGTTGTGTATTAATGTAATTTTTGTGTTGTGTTCGATGCACCCCAGGAAGAATAGCCACTACCTAGTAGTGGCTAATGGGGATCCTGATAAATAAATAAATAAAAATAAAACTATATTTTAAAAAATTAATTCAGGAATCTTTGTGTTGTGATTAAAAAATCTAAAACTGTGTATGGAAAGCATTGTCAATGCACTGAGATATCAAATTGAATCCAATCGATGGCATGATAATCGTAACCGAACCGTGAGACCTGTGTGGGTTCACACCCCCGTAACATATTATAAAGATATAATAATTCATTGTTAGTCATAAATAAAATACAGACAGGTTGTGGAGGTCGAAACTTTTACAATATCAATAATTATTTAGAGATTTAAATGTTCTAAGCAACAGTAAATTATTTACAGAAGGTTTAATATGACAGAATATGACCAGTGGTCACATGAACATGTGGGAAACTGTAATTTTCCAGGTGTGGTGTAGTTTGCAGGTTACCTGAGTTAACAGATGGTTGGTAACTAGTGTAGACATTACCTGTGGAGAAGGTGTCAGTGAGTCCTCTTGATCGGTAGGTTCACTAGGAGTTGAATATTGCTCCTGTATGTCAGTGCTGAAGGTCTCGAAGTCTGAGGCTGTAAACAAACTTGTGTCCACTGCATCAGTCGTTGTGGATGATGGTGATTTATTTGTGTTAAAACTGACCAGAGAACTGTCATCTGTGTTTATGACTGTGAAGATATCTGCAGCTGTAGATTCAGGAGCCTCTATATCAGACATTTCATTGGAAATGCCAGTGTAGCTGCTGGCTGAGATCAGTTCTGCGGCTGTGTTCAGAGTTGATGCGGTTTTATTGTGATTATGTGAAACGTGCTCTGTCTTCTCAGCTGAAGCGATGGAGGCTGTGATGGAGCTGTGGTTCTCAGTCATGAGCGTGCTGAATGGGTTCAGACTGTCTTCTGATGTATAGGATGGACGCTCTGTTGTGGTATGTGCGGTGTATTTAGATGTACTGCCTGATGGGTCGGGGACTGTCAGTGATGATTCAGAATGTTTCTCAGAGTTTCTGTTAGTTGAGACGTCAGCTGTTAGCGCGTGTGTTTGGACTCTAGTTAATGTGCCAGGAGTTGAGGAAATGGAAATGTTGCTCTCTGAGGTTTTCTCTAGACTAGAATCTGGTGTAGAAGATGAGAACTGTGGAGATATTGCATCTGGGGTGTATTTGGATGTATTGTCTGATGGTTGTGGTGATGTTGTAGCTGTGTTTGTGTTTTGATCCTCAGCACTTTCAGTTGTACCAGAAGACATTGAAGGTTCTGCAGGTGCTGTTAGATATGTGGAGTCAGCAGTCACAGTAGTGTCATTGGTTGTATTCACATTATTCTGAGTCAGGTTTGGTGTAGATGTGTTTCTGTCAGTATCGCTCAAAACCCTTGAGGTGTTTGATGGAGAGATGGAGTCTTTATTTGTGGCTGTGTACTCGGATGTATTGCCTGATTGGTCAGTTATTGGCGTTTCAGAATATTTCTCAGAGTTTCTGTCACTTTTGCTGGTTGAGGCTTCAGTTGTTGGCTCAGGTGTTTGGATACCAGGTAATGTTACAGGAGCTGAAGGAATGGAAATGCTACTCTCTGGGGTTTGAAGGTTGATTTGGCAGTAGTCTGGTGGAAGACAAGAATTCAGTATTCCTGCAAGTAAGAATGGGAAATGCTTTTGAAAGGACTGTAAGCCAAGGTGAGACAGCCAATAGATCTTATTTCCTGAAATACATGCAACATTTATGTAGCAAATAAATCAATCGTTCACACAATGTAGTAAATGGAAGGGAGGTATTAATCGATTTGTACCAGTGATTTTATTTTATGTCACACTTTGCTCTAACCTGTTACCCAGCACTCAATTTTGGGGATTTACACCCACCTAACTTTAAATAGCAACAGTTCCTGACTCCAGTAAGCTACAAACACAAATTAGGTATCATTGGAAAGAAGACACTGGCGAAGTTACATGTTAAAAATATCTGAAAGGTTATGCATTATGGAGTCATGAGAAAAATAATATTGTATTGTTTAATATTTCATTTTTCATATGCAAACACAGGAAAACATTTATGTAATGTCCTAGAAATAAATATGACTTGAAAGCCAAGTGTCTTATAAGTTTATTTTTCAAATTTGATGACGATAGAATGCAAAGTGAGATTTCTGTAAAGTTTTATCGGTATCATACCTCAGCGTCAAAGGCATTTTCTTAAAAATGACCTTCCCAAAGCTAAAACATTGACAGTTGCTGAATGATTTGGTCTACATTCACAGTTCATGTATCTTTGGAAAGAAGACCCTCTGGGCTTTATTATCCAACATCTAGAGATTATAATGCTCAAAATGAAAAAGTTATCGGTGCTTGAGAAATTTAAAAAAATAAATTATTATTTCATAAACAAATATGTGAAATTTTATCTGGAGCAATACAGAAAAATAATAGGTCAAAAGCCACACATCTCCTGAGTATATGTTTGGAATTAGATGCCAATATGATGCTAAATGAAATTTCAGGATTTTTTTTTCTGAGACTGTCTTGTAATTTCCTCTCTATTTTTGTTTGTGTATAACAGTGGTCACCAAACTTGTTCCTGGAGGTCCGGTGTCCTGCACATTTTAGCTCCAACCCTAATCAAACACACCTGAACAAGCTAATCAAGCTCTTACTGGGTATACTTGAAACATCCAGGCAGGTGTGTTGAGGCAAGTTGGAGCTAAACTCAGCAGGGACACCTGCAGAAGGTCTGATGTCTGATGAAGGTTTTTAACAAATATTTTAGTCTTGTCACATACCACGAAGTCTTTAATTGTAAACTCAGATTTTAACCCATATTATAGTTAATTACCAAGTAAATGCATATCCGTTAGATTTTTCTTTCACTCTTCTCGTTTACAGAGCCCAGTTGTCAATTAATTTATTTGTTCTAAAATTGTGTTTTTTGATTATTTGTTCATTGTATATTGGATGTTTTGTTTCTGAATTAATGCATTTATATTTAAGAAGTTTTACCTGTTGTGCCATTATGGAAGTGGTTATAAGGTGACCGGAAATTAATATCCCGGAAGATATATGAGGGGAGCAGAAGAGCATTGTTGAAGACTTTGTCTGGGTGAACGTTGGCGTTAGAGAGGGATTTTTTGCTCTGCTTGTTGTCGAATAGTGAACTGAAGAGAGCTTATAACATCTAGGATCCTGTGAGGATAGCAATTTCCTCTGAGTATCAACAGACTATTTGTTGCACTGTGTTCACTAAATACAGCGTGAGCCACTAAGGCAGAGATCTGCGAGTTTGCGTCGGTGGACCGCAATTGAGAATCACCAACGACTCCGGACATCCCAGCTAGCGCCCTGAGAAACCAGGACATCTCAGTGCTCCTCTGGTAGTGCTGGATGTGACGCACTCTGCTGACGCTCTCCTTTTTCTCCACGCACTAAAGCTCTAGTTCTAGAGCATTCCCTGGCTCTGGTAGGAGTGAACTATGGTTTATTTGCCCTTAGGGTGAAGCGGCAACTGTGTGTTATGCCACTAGGAACACAAGCACCGACACAGGCCTGCAACAGGGTTTATTATTTCTCAGTTCATTTATATGGTCTATTTTTGAGCTTTTCTGAATGATCTGTTGATTGTGCTGTTTATTTGAGTTTACAAAAGAAAAACAAAGCACTTTATTGTGAAGCAAACCTTAATTTCTTTTGTTTGTTTATCTTTGTTAGTTACATTGTGTTGAAGTAAATTTGGAATTTAGTAATTATGTACCAAATTGGTTATGTTTATTATTCATATTAATTGGTATCAGGTTATGGCTTATTTTTCGGGGTAAAATACAAATTAAGAGGGATCTAATTTATAAGAATCCAGGGCCCTGCCCTCGCCATAAGGAAAGGGCGCTACATTTGTTTATTAACATTTGGTTGATATGAAATGCAAAGTTCAAGCTGATTTTACTAAATATTTGGCCATTTTATTATTCCTAAATATTCCTGTATATAATCAGAAAGATCCCATTAAGCTGCAATATCTTCTACCAGCGAGTGCTGGTTAAAACAGGCAGCATAGACAAATTTGCAAAGTCATTTGTGGCTAATAATGACACACACACACACACACACACACACACACACACACACACACACACATTTTCTGAACTGCACTCACCCCAGAGGAGCAGGAATGCTGCATTACGGCCCATGCTGATCTGAGAAACCTTACACAACCACTCCTTTATCACATTTGATGGAAATCTCTTCCCATACTGAAGGTTGAGCTGAAACCTTTTACCCTGTTTTTAAGAGGAGAGGCACATTCTGAACGCAACATACGAAAGCACTGAATCCTTTACATCACATGACGTACTTTAGAAATAAAGAAATCTGATCAAATACTGCTACCATTCATACTCTTTTAATGTCAATACTGACAAACACTCCGATAGCAAAGGCTGAAATAGAGCCCTATGATATCTGCAATGCCACAAATTGTGAAATCGTGTCATCTTTTATCCAGTGTTTTTGGCTAATGTTCTTCAATCCTGTGCAATCAAATGTTAATATTAACTAATGTCTATGAATATTAAACAGCAAATAGATATATAAAAACTACATTTATTACATATATATATACACAATTACATTTATAAAAATTCTGCATTACTACTGTACAGAGCACTTTTCAAAATATTTATAACAATAATACAAAAATATATATAAAAAAATTTATACAAACACAAACAAAAATAATATTTATATTGTATATTATTATATTACTATGTATATATATATGTGTGTGTGTGTGTGTGTGTGTGTGTGTATTAATATTAAACAAATAAAATTTAATATATTTATATTTATTTAATATATTTATTTAATATTTAATAATATATAATATGCTAAATACTATTTTTGTATTTTATTGCTGACAATGCAACAAAACACAAAAATAATAGTTATAATGTATATTATCATATTATTTTTCGTATTATATATATATATATATATATATATATATAATAAGAAATATATTATTATCATATTTTATTTTATTGCTGACAATAAAACAAATATTATTTAATGTGTTCCTCATAAACTTTTATTGGTATTTTTTATTATTTATTTATTTTATTTTTTTTAATATAAACTTGTATTACAATTTTGGTTCTCGCAACACATTTCAATAAAATTTATGCCAGGATCAGTTTAGGGCAGTGATCAGGTGATCTGCTGAATGATGTGATGTGACACAGGTGATGTGTACAGGTGATGGTGATGATGATCTGCTCATCAGGAAAGCTCTAGTCCTTTAGGATCAGAGATGGGTCGAGGATCGCCAGTTTGATGATATGAGAGGAGATGAGTGAACTGCTGAAACACAATGATCCTCAGAGAAAGAGAGGAAGACATGTGGATATTTCACCTTCAACAGTGCAGAACAGCATTAAAGACTGAAGGAATCTGGAGGAGTTTCAGTGCGTAAAGGACAAGAGCGCAAGCCTGAGCTGAACAACTGTGACCTCCGACCCCTCAGGGGGCGCTGCATCAAGAGTCCTCATTCATCTATAAGCAGATCAGCACATGGGCTCAGCACTACTGCGCTAAACCTTTGTCAAGCACCACAATACAGAGTCACATCCACAAACGCCAGTCAAAACTGCACTGTGCCAAGAGGAAGCCCTATGTTAACAGTGTCCAGAAGCGCCTTCTCGCAAGGACCATCACACAGTGGAAACGGTCAGGTGAATCAGTTGTTCAGGTGTTTTTTGGGAGAAATATGTGCTTTGTGCTTCAAACCAAAGAAGAAGAGGATCATCCAGACAGTGTCCAGCAACAAGTCCAGAAGCCCGGCTCTGTCATGGTCTGGGGTTGTGTCAGTGCTCTTGGCGAAGGTGACCTGCTCTTCTGTGATGCTCCATTAATGCTGAACAGCACAGAGAGATTCTGGAGCTCAATATGCTGCCTTCTGCTCCAGGGACGCTCATGCAGCGTCCAACAAGACAATGCAGAAGCACATTCAGCTCACTTTACAGAGTCCTGCTGCAGAGGAAGAGGAGACGGCTACTGGACTGGCCTGCCTGCAGTCCTGATCTGTCTGCAATAGAGAATGTGTGGCAAGTGCGACAATGAAGCTCTCATACTGTTGGCCATCTTAAGACTTGTTTGCAGGAGGAATGGGACAGAATTGCCCCTAAAACAGTTCATCACTTGGTGTCTTCAGTCCCTAAACGCCTTTAGTTGTTATAAAAAGGAACGGCAACATTATAAAGTGAGAAATGCTTTACTGTTACAACTGTTTGTGAAATGTGTTGCAAGAACCAGAACTTGAATACCTGTTAGTTTAAAAAAATAGCACACACACTTATTAAATAATGTGCTGTTGTTTTGTCTATGAGGTGCTGTGTAAGATGCGTATGAGAAAGTATTGCATGATTGTCACACAGTAGGGGAATATTTAACGGTTCATGAGGTAGATGGCCTACAGACGTTACACTGTAGGTCACACTACAAACTTTGAAATGACTTTACTATTTGTCTATATGTAGATACAAACACAGATTTTACCAGAAAGTGCCTTTCAATCGCTCTAGATCTTCTGATTGTCTAGATTAGCTGGCATAAACGGATTATGGCGTGATTCTGCATTCACAGTGGCATGAACCGTTATAGGGGTGATCAAATGTATTTTTATATGATCTATCATTTTGATTATTCATATTATTGTTTAAGACACAGATCAGAGAAAGCGATTTCTCACTATTACAGTGCCTCAACCCAGAAAAACGCAATTTCTTAAAGAATATACACGAATATGCAATTTTAAATATGACACTGGTGATCGTGTTTGGTAATAACACAGCGTATGTTGCAGCGATAGTATTTCAGAAGTATATCAGTGTCAAATTAAAGCTCTTAAGAGTTTCGCAATCAGGAGGAGGAAACAGACGAAAGAAATGACATTCTTCAAATACCACATACTCACCAACAGCAGAGGAAGATGGCGGAATAAGTCAAAAAGACAAGTTTTTCATCAATCTTCACGCTCTACCTGCTGTCTAGTTTAATTACTTTACTTTCAGAGGAAGATTTTATGCATTATTTCCATTTCTAGCACTGAGTGTGTCGTTTCAGAGAGCAGCGGGAAACGAGGAGATGAACCTGTCTGGGCAGAATTTCCCCGTTTTTTTGAAAGCCATCATGCAAATAAGTTTCTCAAGAGTTTGTGCATCAACAACAGCAGCTTTGTGTCACAACGACGCAAATTCATAAACCATATGCAAATGCTGACCTTCGTGCATCACTGATGAGTAACTGTTCAGATTATTCAACATCCAGGCACATTTAAATTCTTTTAAAAAACATTTCCCCATTTTTGATTCACAGGAGATTTTTCCAACACCTTACTAAACATCATACAGCATAGGCTTTAGTAAATTAACAAACTTCTTTTAACAAACATTAATTTACCGTAATATGAGCTGTATTTTACTGTAATATGAGCTGTATTTTACCGTAATATGAGCTGTATTTTACCGTAATATGAACTGTATTTTACTGTATTATGAGCTGTATTTTACTGTAATATGAGCTGTATTTTACTGTATTATGAGCTGTATTTTACTGTAATATGAGCTGTATTTTACTGTATTATGAGCTGTATTTTACTGTAATATGAGCTGTATTTTACTGTAATATGAACTGTATTTTACTGTATTATGAGCTGTATTTTACTGTAATATGAGCTGTATTTTACTGTATTATGAGCTGTATTTTACTGTAATATGAACTGTATTTTACTGTATTATGAGCTGTATTTTACCGTAATATGAGCTGTATTTTACTGTATTATGAGCTGTATTTTACTGTAATATGAGCTGTATTTTACTGTATTATGAGCTGTCATACTGCAATATGAGCTGTAACTTGACTACTGAACTTGACTTGATCTGTTTCTCATTTTATCTCCAGAGTAACTATGCTTTCTTTTGCAGAATTTAATTTATGGAACAAAAATGCCAGAAACCCAGCAAATACACTTAATTTTAGGCTATTCTTTTTGTGCATTTCGGTTAGTAAATAGTTTAAGGCGGCTGTCACGTCCACACCCTGTGTTTATTTATTTCTGTTTACTTCTGTTTCTCTTCTTATGCTCTTAGTTATGCTGTCAGTTACTATGGTTATTTACGGTCCACAGCCCTCGTCTTATGATCTAAATGAGTTTAATTGTTCTCCTTTCACATACAGCTGAAGTCAGAATTATTAGCCCCCCTTTTATTTATTTTATTTTTTTTTTATATTTCCCAAATGAACAGATGAACAGATTCAGGAAATGTTCACAGTGTTTCCTCTAATATTTGTTCTTCTGGAGAAAGTCTTATTTGTTTTATTTCGGCTAGAAAAAAAGCCATTTTTAATTATTTTAAAGCCTTTTCAAGCTCAATATTATTGGCCCCTTCAGCAATATTAGTGTTGGATAGTCTCCAGAACAAACCACTGTTATACAATGACTTGCCTAATTACCCTAACTTTACCCTAATTACCCTAGTGAAGCCTTTACATGTCACTTTAAGCTGTATAGAAGTGTCTTGAAGAATATCTAGTCTAATATTATTTACTGTCATCATGACAAAGAGGAAATAAATCAGGTATTAGAGATGAGTTATTAAAACTATTATGATTAGAACTGTGCTGGAGAAATCTGCTCTGTTACACAGAAATTGGGGAAAAATGAACAGGGGGTGAGTAATTCTGACTGTATTTGGCATTTTGTGTCCGTCTGTTGTGTTGTATTTCCTCCTGTGGCGTTTGTGTGTTTGCTTTTGGTTTTGTTTTGTTCATAGATTTGTTTATTCTGCATTTGCATCCTTAAAGTAAGTTTAAGTCAGAATTTGCCTGGTGTATTAATATTATATCATATAATATCATAGAACATATTGTATTACATTATACTCTATAATACTATATTTGATAAAATATATAAAGCGTGATGGTGTTGAGAAACTATGTAAATGACCGTGTGGAGTTCAGATTTCAGTGCTGTTGTGTGTAATAATGAAGCGTCCGTCAGTGAAGACAGATCTGAGGAGGGTTAAGTGCTCTTAAGTATGTGCAAAGTGTTTACAGTTCTGTATTATTCTGTGCGCAGTACATAAATCAAACATGAACAATAGAGGGTGTGAGCTTTACTGTACTCGTGTTCAGGAAATCAACATTCACAAGATTTCTCTCACACACACAAACACAAAAAAAGAAAACACTTCCTTGTAGTGATGAGCAGAAACATCTGATGAAGAGATAGCAGTTTCAGTCAGATCACTGAGCGTGAAATTCAGCTCCTCTAATTATAGATGTGTGGATGAGCTCGTATTTATTACAACAATAATAATACAAAATGTGCGCAATATTTATACAAATTTGCATTTAACATCTCAGTGCACCAGTTTATTTGCCAT